TACACATTTTTCTCTATAACTGTAACAAATTACTATTACTTTTATTTTGTAATTAAATTAAATTTAAAAAAATTAAATTACGTTACGTGGTTACATGTAACTACTCCCCAACACTGCCAATCAGAATTGCGCAACTGAAATATGGGGAATGCCCACAATAAAAAAAAAAAAAAAAACAGACAAACAAACAGGGAAGCGAACGAGTGGGATAATGGCATCTGCCGCTTCAGAATCATTAATAGGTCCCACTTTATATTAAGTGTCCTTAACTACTATGTACTTACATCAAAAAAATAAATACAATGTACTTACTGTGTTCATAATGTATTTGAGAACACTTGTGGTGCTTTTGAGTTGGGATAGAGGTTGGGCTAGGGACAGGTTTGGTGGTATGGGTAGGTTTAAGGGTAGGTTAAGGTGTAAGGGATGGTCCACAGTGTATTTACAAATGTAATTGCAAAAGTTAATTACAGATGTAATTACATACATGTATTTAATCAAGCATAAGTACATAGTAAATACATGTATTTACACAATAAGTACATTGTAACAAACTATAAATTCCTGTGTAAGCATATATTAGTTAACCCCACTTAATATAAAGTGGGACCCATTAATAGACTAATTAGTATCAAAGAAAAACAGCACGTCACTTATATGGTAATATTTTGGTTTCAAAGTCACAAACACTGAACAAAAACAGGTAATGTGTAAGAGCTGTCGCAGAATTTTTGCCACAGCATGAGGAAATACAACAACCGACACCTAAAAAAGCACCACAGGCGGCTATACAAGGAGCATCTTACTAAAAAGTCAACTAAAAGTATTGCTAGTGACACTCAATCTAGTAGCTAGCAACGGCAAAGTACAATTTCAGAGATGTTTGCCAATATAAGTTCATATCTTTTAAGTTCCTTTTCTTAACTAACACACTGCATTTTAGCAGTAAGAAGCTCCAATACAGATTATTGAGCTGAAGCTGGACTACAAAATTAAATCGCTAATCACATCAAAATCGCACAACCTGTCAAAAAAAATTTAAAATAAAATAAAAATCACAATTAGATATTTACCTCAAATCGCACAGCCCTAGTTCTAACCCCCTGTCTTTATTCGTTATCCCTATTTCCCCCCTAGGCAGCTCTAATGGTAGCTTAATCAGGTACTCTATATAAACACTTAGGAAAGTACTTCGATGTAAAATAACACTGAATAGTCCTTTATGCATTAATCAAAGACAGAAAAAAGATTAAGCTTTAGATTAAGATTCAGTCAAGAGTAGTGTATGATTTATTTGACTTTGTAATTTGATTAACATAAATGTCAGACAGGTACATTCGGAGAATATCACTTTAGGAATGAATGTGCCGATTGTATAGACACACTTATTTTGATTCCTATGTTCTTTGTTTGTTCATTTTACATTTATTTTAGATATAACTGACTACATTGTGTGAGCATTTTGGCAACAACAAAAAAAGTGTATCTGACTATTTGAGAACCAAATAGGTTTGTGTAAAGTCTCTAATGATTGAACATTTGATTGTCAAGACTTAAAAAAACAGCAAATGGTAAACTTAGTGAGGTTGCTGCTCTGACAAGTGAATATTTCCTGAGGTAAACATCTTTTTTTATCGCAAATAATAAATAACTAGTGTCATTGAAAAATAAATTAGCTCATTCATGCCAAAACAAGTGCTTATGTGCCTGCATAGCAGCCTGAAAACAAAATCTGCTCAAACTTCAGTGATCTGTGTCAGCGAACACTTGGTTTTCAAGACTTAAAACACAGCAAATGTTAAACTTTAGTGAGGTTGCTGCAATGACAAGTGAAAATGTCTTTAGAATCTCCAAAAACAAGCACAAGTTAATTATCTCTGTGTGCTTCTCTCTTGCAGTGCAGATGCGATGTACTGATTTGAGGCCATTTGCGCATTGAAAGGTAAATGCTGTGCACTGAATCACTCTTGTTTATTGAATTCTCAAAGGGACTTTTCAAACAACTGTCCCGATCTGTGAATTTATTTAATCATTCAAGCTTCATACTGCAGTAAAAGCAATTTTGCCAGAGCATTACACTTTAAAGCACAGAACCTGTGAGAATGAGTAGAATTATACACAATATTCACTATATCTCACCCTGTTAGGCACATACCCACACAGCAGAATTTCTATGGCCCAGCTCTGGCCCACACAATCAGGTTTTGCTTGACCCACATGCCGCAGTGAATTAGGGCATACTCACACTATGCTCTCCGAACTGTGCCCAGGCCTATTTCTTGGATCGTTTGAGAAGTGTGAGTGCATTGATACGGGCTCAGGCACGGTTCAGTTGGCCGGCCCTGGCCCGGTTGGAAGAGGTGTGCCAGAGCACAGTTTATTTGGGTTTAGGCGCAGTACACTTATAGTGTATAAAGTTATAGTGCAAAGCGTGCCTGAGCCCGAAACTGAAGATGAGACAATGCCTTTTAAGGGACTATTTCTCTACGGAACATGACTGGACCAAATCTGGCTTCCAGACAAGGGCCAAACATGGACCATATCTAGGTCAAGTCTCAGCCAAGTTAATAACTCATAACTAGGCCTGAACTGGGTTAGATAGGTTGGTGTGTCACAATTGCAATGAAATTGATAAACCCATGAAGTATTGCGCTTTAAGCACACTATATAAGTGCTTTTTCTCAAAGTGAACTGATTAGTGGAATTTTTTTCTTTACTAAAAAAAAATTATTGTATTTTAAATGTGGGTCAAGACAGGCCAAACGTACGTTGCCCACATTTACATTTTTAACATCTGGGCCAAATACTGAATTTTACATCTGGCCAAAATCTTGTGTGCCGCCTTAAAGATAGTGCCACCTGTGCGGTTGCTAACTCTTTGCTACCTGGGTACTGTGCAGTAATTAGCAAATGTTTTATAGAGAAACATCCCACACCACAATTATTTGCACTCACACAAATGCTCCCAAATATATTTTCATGTCCCACTGAATATATTTTGGAACCATGAGCACAGTTTTGAGCCTGTTATACAACAAGTCTCTGTGTGCTTGTGTCTACACTGTTTGTGTTTTTGTATAGGAGAATGGGAGAAGGAGATTTTGTGGGTTTTTTTTTATAAATATAGGAAAGTTCCCTATTATTTATCTTAGTTGGTGGGTTTTAGATGTTTTGCTGTCATGGGTTTTAAACACTTTTAACACATCTGAAGTCATTCATGATCTGAGGCTATCATGATACACTAGAAATATTTTTGGTGTGTGTTTCTCTAAAAATAATTGTATACTTTAGAATATTCGTAGAATACTTTGTAGAAGATAGGAGCTAAATGATGTCAAAATTTGTGCTCAGTCAAGACAGGAAACTTTTTGATAATTTTTTTATTTTTTACTTGCAATCAGGACATAACATACACTTAGGAATTTACACCGAACAATGGCAGCTTACAACAAAGGCGACAGATTTCAGTTCAAAATCGGAGTGAGGTAGGATCAAAACAAATTATATGAATCTAGGAAATGGTAGAATGTTTTAGAAAGATGTGCAAGTTAAATGGCAAAAATGCATGAGCACATGATGCAGATATACACAGATGAACAATTACCTGTTCTGTTAGTTTAGAATAAGAGGCATGTTGAATAAGAGGTGTGCGATATTCATTGATGACAGCATCATAACTGTTGAAATTACAGTGTGCGAGTTCACATTATTGAATCACTCATTTTGCAAGTCTTTCAGAACAACCCTATGATTCAAGATATGAAACAAAACATCTCCCTCTATGATTTTTATACATATATATAGTATGAATTAATAAGGAAATATCACACAAGCAAGATTGTTATTGTCCTGAATATTAGCATGTGAGTTTTATCACAAGTGTGATATTGATTTTTTTACAATTCATTAAAAGAATTCTGCCAGAGCAGAAGATTTGTGCATTTCAGAGCAACCATCCTTTCTTGTTCCTGAATAAATCTTTTTTTAATGAATCTTTTGAGTCATGATTAGCATTATTCCCCGAATCACTCATTTAGACAGGACTGTGCCACTAACTACTGGCAGTTTTAGTGGCCTTAACTGGCGAAGGTACCAGAACAAAATCAGACCAAATAGTGTTTGTATAATATTTAACGCATCCCACAACCCCTTTAAAATGTAAAACCAAGAGATATATACAGTGCTCAGCATAAATGAGTACACCCTATTTTGAGAATGAATATTTTTAGCAATTTCTCATTGAATGTGGGTAATATATATTGGTGCATTTAAACAAAACAGATTTATTAAACAGATTTATTAAAATAATATTTTAGTCGAAGAAAATCTTTAGAAATGGAAAGACAATACATTTAAATTCATGCAAAAAATTACAAACTACAAAATTTCAACAAAATTATATATATTTTTTGTTTCTCTTTATATTTTTGAAAAAAAAAATTAATATTATTCCCTAACATACAGTTAAAGTCAGAATTATTAGCCCCCTGAATTATTAGGGCCCCTGTTTATTTTTTCCCCAATTTCTGTTTAACAGAGGGAAGATTGTTTCAGCACATTTCTAAGCATAATAGTTTTAATTACTCATTTCTAATAACTGATTTATTTTATCTTTGCCATGATGACAGTAAATAATATTTTACTAGATATTTTTCTAGACACTTCTATACAGCTTAAAGTGACATTTAAATGGTTAACTGGGTTAATAAGGTGAACTAGGCTGGTTAGGGTAATTAGGCAAGTTATTGAGAAATGATGGTTTGTTCTGTAGATTATCGAACTAATAAATTAGCTTAAAGGGGCTAATAATTTTGTCCCAAAAATGTTTTTTTTTTTTTATTAATAACTGCCTTCATTGTAGCCAAAATAAAAGAAATAAGACTTTCTCTAGAAGAAAAAAATATTATCAGACATACAGTGAAAATTTCCTTGCTCTGATGAAAATCATTTGGAAAAAAATCAAAAGGGGGCTAATAATTCTGACTTCAACTGTATATACATTTGGGCTACTAATTTTTGAAACCTTATTTTAAGTTGTTTAGTGAGATAAGCTCCAGATTTGGCTTCAGTACTAACTAATGTAATATAATATTGCACAAATGTAACATATTAAAGCATCCTATAAAAAAATATGAATTTAAATAAGAGATATGTGGGGGGTGCACTTAAACTGTATATGCTGAGCACTGTATACAGTATATCATTTTTGTCAACATCGCACACCCCCATGTATTACTGTCTCAGCACAACTACACCTAGGGAACTGAAACTCCATGATGCTTAGTTACATATTTACACAGCTTAAGTGCTTTGGCGTGGTATTTCATAACCTTCTGAATAAAGAAAATGTTAGAGGAAAAAAAGCTTGTAACATTGAGACAGTTGTTGGCACAGCAGGAGTTTAATAATTTCCTGTGAAACTATGATCAACCTTGCTCTACAAAAAGAAACTGATTTCTGCAATTAAATTCGACAACAAAAAGCTTGTAAAGTAAAATGTAAAATAATCTTAAATTAAAGACGTTATGCTTGCTAAATGAGTCTCTGCATGGGTATGTGTGGGGAACTGCTTGATTTTTTACAGGGTGACCTGCAAATTTCCCTTTTGATCAAGCCAGAAATTAACCCACAATCCACAGAACATTTTCTTACAAAGGTCAATCCCTTTATGACAGGGGTCACCAATCTCAGTCCAGGAGGGCCGGTGTCCCTGCAGGGTTTAGCTCTAACTTGCCTCAAAACACCTGCCTGGGTGTTTCAAGTATATTTAGTAAGACCTTGGTTAGCTTGTTCAGGTGTGTTTGATTAGGGTTGGAGCTAAAATCTGCAGGACACCGGCCTTCCAGGAACAAATTTTGTGACCCCTGCTTTATGATAACATAAGCTGACAGTTGCACACATAAAGTATTGCTTCAGTGAACCTAGCAGTTGAAACTGCTTAAATAACCTAAAAGGAAGCTACAACGTATCAAGTAAACAAACTATTTTGGCAAATAATAAATAACTAATGTCATTAAAAAATAAATTAGATCATTTATGCCAAAACAAGTGCTTATGTGCCTGCATGACCCAGCCTGAAAACAAAATCTGTTCAAACTTCAGTGATCTGTGTCACTTTAAATCTCTTATTTAGCCTATTTGTGGCTTCTTTCACTGACGGCGGAGCTCCGAGGAGCCTTTCCCAGGAGGATGAGTGCATTTCGGCTGCACTTCATGGAAGAAAAGAAGCTTTCAGTGGAAGTGTTGATCAACGGTCTGAAATGTTGCTAAAGGGGTTGATCTTAGGGTCTGACCCAGCTAATAGGAACCCAAAAAGTCTCCCTCTCCAACCTCTCCAGGATGCTACGTAGTTCTGTGCTGGCACTGGCAGTGTCCTCCTTGATCAGGACCCGATCCACGAGGTGACCGTACTGTTGATCGATCTGCTGCGCCGACAGACGCATTTCCTGTAGGTCCTCCTCCTGGAAGATGAAAAGAGAAGAGAGAGCGTGTGGCATGAATATTAATCCTGACAATCAAACGAAAGAGAAGTCAGCAGACATGTGGAAGAAATATAATAACAATCAAGCCGTGTCTGTAGATTTTCTCTGATTTTCACCCCTAAATTTTGCAAGTGAGACGAACCTTAAGCTGATTTTCAGATCCAGACAGTTGGCAATTTTATTGCAATTATTATTAAATTACACCGTTTGGAGGCTGATTTTTGAGAGGCTGCAGGAATTGTCGTTGATCAGAGTTTCTCGAGAGCTGAATGATGTAAACCTGTGATCAGACTCACTGTGATTCTGCCGTGCTCTCCTCCTCCTGGCGATGTGGCGGCACTGCGGCGTCTGCGGCTCTCTGGGATTTTCGGTTTCACAAAAATGACATAAGGCTTAAATTCAGCTGTTCGCAGGGCTTTCAGAGCCTGTGGAGGACAAGAAAAACAGACAACTGCTCAGGTAGACTGTACAAAAAATTACAATAATGTACAATTTTTAAAAGAAGGCATGGCACCAAACTCTACCCTTTACAACCAATTGTCATTGGGGATAAGCAAACCATACTAAAATGTACGAATGAAATCATACCAATTTATACAAATTAGCCACTAAATCAAAAAGTTATGAATTGGTGTGAGATAGCTTTGGGTAGACGGGTAAATGACACCCACAAAAAAGGGATCAAATATGTCTTTTTAAATCTATCCGTCTGGGTTCCTATTTTAATCCAATTTTTTTTCCCTGGTAAAAAAAAAAAAATCGAAAAGATTTTGTGCTTATATATTGATAATCAAGTTCAAGTTCATTTATTTATAGAGTACATTTAAAAGCAGTCACAAGACAGACCAAAGTGCTGTACATAAGACAAGGTAAAAATAAAAAGACAGAATAAAAATACATAGAAATGAGGCAAGAAAAACATCTGTAAAAATGTAGCAGTTGAAAGGACAATTAAAATAATCTTAAAAAGCCAAGCTAAAAAAATACATTTTAAGAAGTAATTTAAAAATAGATAATGATGGAGCCATTCTAATCTCAAGGGGCAGGGTGTTCCACAACCGAGGACCCGTCACAGAGAAAGCTCTGTCCGTTCTACATTTCAGCCTGGACTGAGGAACTGAAAGAAGATTCTGATCAATTGACCTAAGACAGGGGTTTTCAAAGTGTGAGGCGCGCCTCCCCTGGGGGGCGCCAGAGCATGTCAGGGGAAGCGCGAGAAAAATGTATAATAAAAATATAATTTTTAAGTTTAATTAAGTTTATTGTCGCGCGCGTTCTGATCAGCTGTGTTGTCGCGCGCACGCTCAAGAGCGGTGTTGTCGTGCGCCTACTGAAGGGCGGGACCGAGGGTGTGCCGCGTCGCGGGGGCACTTTTGATCATTTTGGAAGGGCACTTTCTATCCAGGACTAAAAAGGGCATGTGCACTGCACAGGTTTAGCCCTATGTGTGCACGTGCCTGCAATGGATCGGTTTCTGAGACCCCCGATTCAAAGCCTTCAAGTTCAGGGCTTAAACCCAAAAGACGACCATATGATGATCAGTATTGAGTTTAGGATTTACGTGGACAGGACCAGCTGATGAACCACGACCTTTAAGTGTGGTTTGTCAAACTTCGACTGTTTTGACTGGGATGAAGAGTTCTTGGATCTGTTCTATTCATATTAACCATCATCCTAGTTTTAAAAACGTTATATTAAAATACTTGATATTACTCTGTAAATAATTGCACTTTCATGCAAATGATGATAAAAGTGAGTTAACAGTCTGACATCTGTCTGTGTCTTTATATATATATATATATATATGTGTGTGTGTGTGTGTGTGTGCGTGTTTGGGAGGAGGGGGGCGCCAATGGATAAGTTGTGTCAAAAGGGAGGCCCACTGTCTTAGACTTTGAAAACCCCTGACCTAAGAAATCTCACGGGAGTGTAAAAATGAAGCAGCTCTGAGAGATAGCACATCATTGATATATCAATCTATATATCATTGAATAATTACATATGTTAAAAATAATAACGATATTAAAATGATTTTAGCTTGAATATCATTTTCCATTACTTTAATAGCTACTATGAGAACATTAGTGGATAATCTACCTCATTTTTAAAAACAAAAACTAAGATACTTAGATACTCGATAGACACTCTCCCATATTTCAAAACTCAATAGTAGTTTTATAAACTTTACATTTTAGTTTTCTGCCATTTTCTGTCGTAACAGCCTCTTTTTGATGTGGTCATCTTGGAAACCAAAGCTCTTCATATTTATGTCTTCCTGCATGTTAGCCTTAGATAACCGGTACATGCTGCATGTTAGCCTTAGATAGCAGGTACACTCTGGTGGCTGCATTTGGCTTAAATGAGAATCTATTATGCCCCCTTTCACATGATGTAAAATAAGTCTGAGGTCCCTAGAGTGTTTGTGGGACGTTTCAGCTCAAAATACCTCACAAATATTTGTTAGAAATATTTTCAGAAACTGCCCCTTTTAGGCTTTGATCCAAATTGTGTTATTTTAGTGACTGTTACTTTAAATTCAAATGAGATTGTGCTCTTTTCAAAAGAGAGTTAAGCTGCAAATGCCAACATAATGGCAGATACAGAACAGGACTAACGTTATCTCTGTGAAAACCTGAAAAAGTGAAAAGAAGTGTCTCAAAAGAAGGCAGACTATGGAGATTATTGTGTTTATCTATGCATCCTAAACGTCCACATTTAAAATGCCTCTTAGTTACTGTCATTATTTTCAGCAAGTACAGTGCAAAATATCTAATGGTGGAAGGATGCTTCTCATTCAGGGCTGTCCATATTAATGAGGGAGAAATCATTACTAATGGTCTTATGAGAGGGAGAATGTCAAAGAGTTTCTACGGACTGCTTTTATGAAGTGTGATTATGAAAAATAAAGTTAATTAATTGATACCATTATAGGCTGACAATAATCACACACTGTTGCCACACAACTGCGATTTTTGGATAATAGGTCCCCTTTAAGTGACTGCCCGTTGAAAGGATTTAAAATGGAACTGAAAAATACCAGAAAATATGCTCATTTCAAGCGGCGGCCATTTTTAAGAACCAAAGCGAGGCTGGAGTGGTAAACCTGGAAGTATAGGACCAGCACTGTAAACATTGCAGTAACATGCTGTGGACTACAAACCTTTAGCTGTTGCCACAATTTCAAAATGCAGAAATGGTGTAAACATCACTTTAATATCATTCAGTAAGTTTAATTTAAACAATTAAAAGCAATTTAGCATCACACAACATCACAATCTCTTTAAAAGTAATATGCTCAAGTGTCCTCCAAGACTTCAGTTCATGGTAGCAGGTAAACACTGTGGGGATGCTTCCCTGCTTTAACCTTTGTAACCCGGTGAGAGATAAAACACTGCATTACTCTGTAGCACACTCTCGTGTCGTCTGTTGTCCTGGTAGTGAAGTTTTAAAAACGTCCATTTCCCACTAACATTCAAGCACCGCTAAGCACGTTCATAAACAGAGCTGATTTATCATAGTATTCACCAGTGCTCATCAGTTTACCGCTCTTCACCCAGTGCAAACACAGATACACGGACACTGGAGCGTGAAGCAGCAGTGAAGATTAGTCGAGTCATCAAGCAAATCGCTCGTCTGTGTTTGTACTCGGTAAACAGCGGAGGGTGAACTAATGATGTTCTTGGACAATCACAGTTATTTCTGTTGAGCATGTGAACACAATGGCAAATCAGCGCTGTTTTAAGAAAGCCATTAACATTGCCTTAAATGTTAACAGGAAATTGACGGTTTGTCTTTTAATTCAGTATCGTGACAAGTCTAAGATAGAGAAAGAATCAGTTCATTAACCTGAGTTTGATAAATGGCATCTAAAACGTTTGTTTGGGAAAGAAAACATTAGCTAACTAGTGCCATTTCCCTTAGCTAAAAAGTGAGTTCTGACATCCCTTTTTATTTTCACCATTTATTCAGAACGGACCTTCAGGTCACTCGGAAGGCAGTGAAATTACATATTTGTGTCACTTTCTCTTCGCTGATAAGATATACAGCCAGCTACATAACATTCCTATGTAACTCCCAACAATACTTCCGCGTTTTTTCCCACCGCAGCCTTTAAAAGCCTTCGCTCTTAAAAATGGCGACCGCGTGAAATCAGTCTATAGGTGTCAAAACTGCATGATATAAAAATATGGTACTGAAAAATTACATTTTAATAAATTTAAATTACAATTTCAAAAAGCAACAAACAAAAAAACCTGATATTCCATAACTAACCCCCCAAAAATCTAATGAAAAATTCCTGACTTTAATGTCTAGAATAGAAACTTAAAAAATTCTATGATATTAAACAAATTTCTGACCCGTAGAAACCCTGATCTATCATTCTACATAATAGGTCTCAAACTCGATTCTTGGAGAGCCGCAGCTCTGCACAGTTTTGCTCCAACCCTAATCAAACACAGCTAATCTAGTAGGCTCTAGTAGTGTTGAACAACTTGATTAGTTGAATTAGCTCTGTTCGATTAGCATTGGAGCAAAACTTCATTCCAGGAATTGAGTTTAAGACCTATGTTCTTCATACTGTATATCTACTGTTAATAACCAACAAGTGATGTTAAATATATAACTAATTTTAAACTTTCAAGTACATCTACAAAATCACACATTACGAAGATTATGGGCAATGCATGCCCTGATAAACTTTATGTTCAGTTTCAGTCAGTAGCAGTGAAATTGAAAAAAGAAATGTCTGAGAGCAAGTGTGAGGTAAAATGCCTCCCCATGACTACAAGACAGATTCCAGCCATTGGGTCTAAAGTGCAGCTTGTGGTTGAATGACTAATATGCTTGTTTCAAAAGGCAAGTAGCTCCACCTGAAGGTGATACCAGTCACTGCACATCAGCATTGGAGATATTTCTTTAGGTTATATACTCACAGAGAAAATAAAATAAGCAGCACCAATTGCATAAATGCATAAAATAGGCTACTTTTTTGGGTCAGAAAATAGTTTTGAGGTTTTAATCAACTCTGAGGGCAAGTACTGCATTAATTTACCTCTGGCTGTACATCTACAAGACACATCTTGTTTTTGGCTTGAACCGAGCGGATGGCCTCTATACTGGTCCCATACAGATTCTCCTTATATTCTCCGTATTCTATAAATCTGCAGACAAAATTAAATCAGGCATGACAGCGGGACACAAATGGATGAAACTTATTTAGCAGTAGCACATCACAGCATCTCTTACTTGTTATTCTGTGCATCTGCATCAAAGGCCTGCTTAGTCACAAAGTGGTACTCCACTCCCTCCTTCTCATGGCTCTTTTTTGGTCGTGTGGTGTCTGTGATGGAAGACAGAGAGACACAATCGTCATATGGTTTAAAGAGATTATCATTTATTCACCTTCATGTACTTGCAAACCCATATGACTTTCTTTGTGTGAATCACAATGTGAAATTCCAGACTGTTTTTCATGCAATTATAATGGCACTGAAGCTTTCAAGCTTAAAAAAAAAAAAAAAAGAAGGAAGGAAAAAAAAAACACAAAAGGACCATAAAAATATCATCAAAGTGGTCCATATGTGCTTTTGCATCCTTTTGATGCTCGGCAGACCTAATTTTATTTCATTCTTATTATCAAACAAGTCTGAAACTGACCTGGATATCCTTCAAAAACCTACATTTTGTGTCATCGAGTTAGAGTGTGGTGATATGACAATTTTGGTCATTTAAAGTCAACATGAATTGAAAAGCAACAGCTATTTTTTCATGCACATCATTATTTTGGTACACTTTTTTCAGTTCTGTTTTGCAAGTACATATTATTGTCATTACATAACTAGCATCCCTAAACTTACACCTGAACTTACAGGGAAAGTTCACCTAAGATGTAATATTCTCTCATATCCTCATCCTTTACTTATTTTAAACCTTAATAAGTTTATTTCTTTCCTGTAACCATTGATCTCCACAGTGCTTGTTTTTCCTAATATGGAGGTCAATGGTTACAGCTTTCTTCAAAATATCATCTTTTGTTTACAAAATAAACTAATAAAGGTTTGGAACCACTCAAGAGGAGAGTAAATAGTGAGTCAGTTTTCATTTTGTTTGAAAACTATCCTCTAAACCCAGTCATTTAAGTATGTACTACCCTGCAGGCACAGGACGTCAACATGACGTCATATTGAGGTTGTACCCCAACGTACCCCAACATCATGGGGACGCTAAATTTAGTTTGTAGATGAAAATCGGGTTGACATCAGAACGCAATGTCAGGCTGACGTCAATGTCCAGCCTAAAATCAACCAAATATCAACATCTGATCATGTTACACCTTGATGTTGTGTGGACATTACCACTGTGACATCTATCAGATGTTGGATTTTGGTCACTTTCCAACACAACCTAAAATCAACCAAATATTCACATAATTTAACGTTGTTCCTAAATCCAATCAAATATTACTGTCTTATGATGTTGTGTGCCTGCTGGGCAAGCACACACACTGTAAAATTAAGTGTAACCTTTATTTCTTTCAATTCATACACCCTTGCAAACTTTACTCACTTAACTTCGCATTCATCTTGAATCTCTTGTTTACATTTATGAAAGTCGGACAGCCTTTCATTCAAATTAGTTTTACTTATTGCAAACCACAGCCATCCAGTCTAATCTCAATGGACAAAATCAAGTCTTGGTCTACATCTCTTCTTTTTCAGGAAGCCATTTCACTCAAATGTCCATCACTATAGAAAAGGTTATCAAAATTTCTAACCCCTACTGATTGTAAAAAAGTTCACAGATCATTTCTAACGTTAAATAGGTTTCACAGTTTGTATTTATGGTTTAACAGAAGTGTATAATTTAATGTATACCTTAAACACTTTTTAAAGTCCTGAATAAGAAATGAGAAAAGACATACGGGGTACGGCCACAGCATAACGATGGGGATTTTCTGCTATCACTTTCTGCTTCAGTTCGTTGATTCGTGCTCCCAGAGAACCTGAACAAAGATAGTTAAAATGATCACATGGCTCAGTCCTGAACTGTTGGTACATTTTGGGTCTCCAAGACAAACCCTCTATTATTTATAAACTGTTTTTAATAATAACGATATATCTCTGAAAATAATGTTTGTATGAATGTTTGTATACGTGTTAAAGTTTTTTTTTTTTTTTTTTTTTTTTGTAATTTGTTATTTTGTTTTTGACAGGTTTTTACCTGTCATATATACAACACAAATAATTAATTAGGAAAAATTAAGTTTAATTAAAATAATAATAATTTATCGGTTGCGCAGCATGATGGCTCAGTGGTTAGCACTGTCACCTCAAAGCAAGGTCACTGGCTCGAGCCCTAGCTGGGTCAGTTGGCATTTCTGTGTTTAGTTTGCATGTTCTCTCCGCGTTGGCATAGGTCTCATTCAGGTGCTCCGGTTTCCCCCACAGTCCAAACACATGTGGTACAGGTGAATTGGGTAAACAAAATTGGGTAAACCTGGTACAGGTGAATTGGGTAAACGCTCACGCTCAATCTGCCCAGTTGGTGGAATGAACTCCCTAACTGCATCAGAACAGCAGAGTCACTCGCTATTTTCAAGAAACGACTAAAAACTCAACTATTTAGTCTCCACTTCACTTCCTAATCTGCAATTGCCTCTTTGAATATCACACTAATTGTACAAAAAAAAAAAAAAAAAAAACTACTAATACTTCCCTTCTTAGACTTTACAGACCTGAAACTTGCCTTTAGTACTTATTCATTGTTGCTCTTAGTTGTGTAAATTGCTTCCTTGTCCTCATTTGTAAGTCGCTTTGGATAAAAGTGTCTGCTAAATGACTAAATGTAAATGTAAATGTAAAATCGACCATAGTGTATGAGTGAATGTGAGAGTGCATAGGTGTTTCTCAGAACTGGGTTGGGGCTGGAAGGGCATCCGGTGCGTAAAACATATGACAGAATAGTTGGCGGTTCATTCCACTGTGGTGACCCCTGATAAGGGAGTAAGCCAAAGGAAAATGAATGAATTTTGTCTGTTCTTGTATTTTGGTCAATTCTGTTACATTGTTTATGAAAAAGTATAACAATCTGTAAAGCACTGCTAAAAAAAGCATGTAACTTTTTTAAATGATGTAACTTGCTCCGACAAGAAACTTTGGAAGGCATTAAGGTGCATGTTCTTTATTTTTCTCATTAATTTGCAAAAAATAAATTATTATTTAAAATATTGGATTCACTAACTAACAATAGATTAATTATTTGTCCACTCTGTTACTGTGATTTTAGAGTGTTTTTTTTTTGTATTTTTTTTTTTTTAACAATAATATGATGACAACACATAAGATTTTGTTTTAGACATGCTAAAGCATGGAAAATGTCAAATCTGTTACTATGTTCTCTGTTGTGGTTTATAAAGTGGTTTGTAGACCATTTTAATGTGGTAATGTCATTGACCCATGAACATTTCCTGCTTGTTATCAAGATATACTGTAAAAAGAGGCAGTTCAATCAGAACTTAATGTTAAACAGCTATCATAACATTATTTATCAATATGTGGCTCTTTTTGGATTCTCGAAAGCTATAGAAATAAAAAATGTAAAACAAGAAATACGTTGGGACCATTGTTTTTGTTTACATCCCTCAAAATGGTCTATAAACGACAATTAAACAACAATTAGTAACAGAATCAAAAGTTCTCCATCATATTTTGCGTTAATAATGCATTCACTTTATTCTAACTAACACATTTCGTTACCTTGGAATTTTAAGTTTCTATCGGCATTCTGAAGGATTTTGGGATATTGAGCTTCAAAGTTTTTGCATTCCATATAGCAAACAATATGTGTGTAACATTTCTCTTTCATACATTAACATGACAGCGACCCTAAATGTGCTCTAAATGTAAATGATCAAAGTTCTTACATTTGCAAATTTGAGTAAAAAAACACAGTAAATGCAGATGGAACCTTCTAATTGTGAAAAGCCATTTTCCACTTGGAGTTATAAGGTTCTATCTTGCAGATCATTCATTGAAGCATTTTTTTTTTCAAAAGAAATACAATCAAAACATATATAATATATATATAACATATATAATACATATATATGCTGTAACAATATGCTGATGCTTAAGAAAGTTAAAAGTTTTGCTTTCTATAACATTTATTTAATGTTTTAGAATGAATCTTTTTTCTTGTTCAAATTAAGCATACAAGGCCGTGCTGAATATTTTGTCCAGTGCAGATGATAAGTTTATGTAACTAATATGTAAATATTTATTAAAATGTATGCTTTACATGAACTATTGAATTATATTTACTGAATTATCGGCCCCATGAATTGAATAAGTTTCCCCTTCAAGGCTTAACATTAAATTTAAAGACTTTAAAAGAAAACAGACAATGAGCAAATGAGTTTAATAAACACTGGAAAATGTTTCACTTACCATATATACTCAAATAAAAATCTTTCACATTTAATATAAAATTCTTTCTGGTCATTCCCGCTGTCAATGGAGCAGTTTGGCGAAATGACAAAGAAAGTTGATCATGCTTGGTCCTCATGCATGCATTCGAAATGCTGATTAGTTAACAGAAAGAACCTTATAGAGCCAAGCTAGAGTTTGACTTTGTAGATAAACCTTTTTATTAAGTCTTAAAATTTATTTATAAAAAAAATCACATAATGTAAATAAGTTGTCATTTTATAAGAATATGTCAATAACTCAATTTTGACAAAAAAAAATGGCAGATAGAATCTTATAATTCTAGGTGACGATTTGTAATCATTCCAGTTGAAGGGAAATGAATAGAAAATGCTTGGACTGTAACTGTAAATCTAGAATTAATCATATATACAGTAGCATATTTTCATAAAGTGCTACATTACAAGAAATGGTGTGCCAGACAAGGACTAAAAGAGCAGAGAAATTCTGAAGTGGTGGGAAATCACTTTTACCACTAGAGGTCAGTATATCTTCAGAATGTGTAATGCAAGTAACCAGGTTGTTAAAGATTTTACTGGTAAAGAACACACCATTTACTCAATCTCAATTGGTTCCAAACCTTTATGAGTTTCTTTCATCTGTTGAACACAAAAGATATTGTGAAAAAAAAAGCTAAAAAGCTGAAACCATTGACTTCCATATTTGGGAAAAAACGACACTATGAAAGGCAGTGGTTACAGGTTTCTAACATTTTTCAAAATATCTTATGGTGTTTTAACAGGAAAAATAAACTCACAAAGGTTTGAAACATGTAATAGGCGAGTAAATAATGAATGAATTTAAGTTTTTGGGTGAATCCTAACTTTAAGCAGTTGTTTACTGAAGATGCTGTGCATTTTAAAGACACGCAATGTGCTTGTTAATTATGAACCATTATATAATAACTAAGAGTTTTGTTTTTCAACAAAAATGTCTTTACAAGAGAGTGCTGTCATAGTAAATGTTTTAAATGTGCATTCAGTTTATATTTAAAAAGTTTTTGATGGTTTCATTTAATCCGTGGGCTATTTATTGCAGCAAAATTACACATTGCACAATATAAAAGATACAAAATGTTTTGAATATGATCTTACCAATGAGAACTACTAATCGAGGTCTTTCATTGGACCGCTGCTGGTAACGTGTCACTTCTTCATAAGTCAGGAAATCTGTGTCATTCTGATCAGAAACATTAGCCTCTCCTGAAGATCCGCGACGGTCCTTTCGACTGAGACGGAAACTTCTCCTTAAACCAGCTGAGACAAAATCGAAAGTTAACAATTAAATCATTATTTATTTATTATTACAGTTAATTATCAAGTTAAATTAAGATTTATACATTTGTTTGTGTACTATCACTGTTTAAATTTGGTCTCAGTAAACTTGTATATTCAAATATAAAGGTTATTTATTTATGAAATACATATAAACTAACAAAATTATATTTCAATTTTATTAGACTTTATACAATTAAAAAAAAGTGTTATGACAATATTACTTAAAACACAATTAAACATAGAGTAAACATAGTTAAAATTAAGCATTAACAGTAATTGATTTACAAATAAGCACTCACACTTTCTCTTCATATGTATAATGCTAAAAACATTCCCAATTGAAACCATAACCAATAACACTTCCAGTTCAACTCCTGTATCGTAACGCTACACTTCACCCTGCTCTCCAACAACATGATCTAATGAAAAGTGATGTACAGTGAGTGTGTTATTTTTAGGACATGGAGGTTAGTGGGGACTGTACCTGAGTAAAAATCCCAGGAAAACACTTGGCCACAGGAGGGAGCCACTGCATTACACTTCGAAGAGACTACAATGCGCATTAGACCACCTCACACTTGTGCATAAACCACACTCTGCCCTCAACAACTGACCCAAAATCAGCTTGCAGTTTAAACTTCAGGTCATTTATGACTGTGTGGAACTCTGCACCAGCACTACTCCAAAATTTGGTGAGCACGGAATCTGCACTACACATTTGTGAAGGAAACTCTGCAGCATGCATGATTTAAGTTAAACAAAATGTGCTTAAATAAAACACTCCCAAAATAAAAGTATACTTTTTTATTTTTAACACATGCTAGTATAATCGCGGCCAAAATACTTTAAATTTAATATGAAATGAGAGCATGCAGATGCAGCTTAATCAGTGCATCAGTAACCAATGAAATTACAATATTTGAGACCGCATTTGCATATGAGCATATTTGGATGGATGGATGGATGGATGGATGGATAGATAGATAGATAGATAGATAGATAGATAGATAGATAGATAGATAGATAGATAGATAGATAGATAGATAGATAGATAGATAGATAGATAGATAGATAGATAGATAGATAGATAGATAGATAGATTGATTGATTGATTGATTGATTGATTGATTGATTGATTGATTGATTGATTGATTGATTGATTTTGCCTGCTAGAGCTAAAATCTGCAGGACAGGTCGCTTGGGAATTTCCAAAAATCAAATTCATTTTATTAAACTACTAGAATTACCGTATTTTATCCATAAGCAACAGAAGAATAAAATAGTAGCTACTACATAAAAAAACAATGCAAATTAATACCATCAGCCTTTCCATTTTTTGCGACTCCTGAGGTGATTATGTAATTTTAAAGACACAGCACATTGATTTTAAGGCACTAAGCTAAACTTTCTGACATCTTTAAGGCACTCATGTACAACAAACAAAAATACAGACCACAACTGAACATGGAGAAAGGTCTCCGAGTGGCGTTCATCAAAATTAAATGATGAACAGAACTGGGCTTATTGGTATATGAGCGCCAGTGTGTAAGGTTTATATATTTAAAACCACCTCTGAGTATATTGGGGGTCACTAGTCAATGGCATTGTCATTTTGGGGGTCGTGGGCTGAAAGGTTTAAGAGCCCCTGCTCTATGTCACCTCATGTACTGCACACACTTGTCTACAATGTGTTAAATTTCTGTTCTTGCTATAGGAAATTGATATTTGGTGGAGGTTGTTGGCTTCGTTTAACACACTACTAAAAATAATATATAGGCATAGGCCGACATAAGTTTCTGATGGTATGATAACCCCGGATAAAAATATCACTGTTTCACGGTATTGTGATTACTGTTCTCAAATATGTTGTTTTAAATGTCTGGGTAAAAAAAATTTTTAATTAATTGGAACAGTAAAATAAAAATAATTTAAACAAAATAATAATATTTATTTTATTTAAATATTTATTTAACAAAATAATTTATTCACTTCTTCTTTCTTCATTAGTATTTATCTATAGCTTCCAGAAAGCTTAAACCAGTGTTTATCAGAAAAAAAACTGACTGTAAATAGGAGACTGTCTCAGATATTAAAGATTTGCCAGATTTTTTACACAAATCTGTGAAGGCAGATTCCATGCTTTAAGTAAGTCTGATTAAAATGTTGGACAGTTCCAATACTAAAATCACAATGCACATTTACAAAATATATCATTTCAAAGCTGAATTATATAGATAAATGATAAAAAGCCATAGTATTTCAGATTGTAGAACATATTCAGTATTTTAGGCAGGTAGCAGAGTAGCTAATGATTCAGAACCGTAATTAGCACTATTCAATTAGTAAACATACCAGGTCAGTGTTTGTGGACTGAGAGTTGGCACCACACACATGAGCTCATCACACACCAGACTGAGTGAGTGAGTGAGTGAACAGCCAATCGTGCAGGGTTTAATGTGCATAGTGTCCAATAGAAGGGCAGCAGCTTTGAGTGGGTGGGGTTTTAGGGATGGAGGACTAAATAAAGCAGAAGGCAACAGAGCAATATATTCATACAGAGACTGGGTTAAGGGAAGGTATTGCCTGCCAGAGGGGAGGAAGGTAAGGTGAATTATTCCCTCCCAGTTTCATTGGGAATTCAAATCTGGTTACATTAGAACCAGAGAAAAAGTCGAATTAGAAGTCACCCACCCGATTCGCAGCTTCAATAGTTTAGGGTCAATGAGATTTTGAAAAAAGTCTGTAATGGCCACTAGTCTGTGCTTTGTCGTAACTAAAGTAAAACAGTAATGATGTGTAATAAGTTCCAATTAAACACAGCTTTCTGACAGTTTTGTTTTAATATGTTTAATATCCCTGAATTTCAAATATTTTTAATTTCCCAGAATAATAATCTTTTTTTTAAGTTATCTTACAGTGTCCTTGCTTATTACACCTATTCCATGAGCTTACAATAGTACTAATATATGTAAATTTATATGCAGCTAATCATATACTGCATGAATGTAATTCATTGATTTTACTTAATGAACTACATGTACTACATGTACAACAACCTGTAATTAAAAGTAGTAGACTGTAACAAGGACACTGTAAAAATGCCCTAGCATTTCAAATATCGTTGCTATACTTATGGAAGCCACCCACAAAAAAATCACAGAGTCTCAATTTTGTCAAGCTCATCCTCACAGACTGCAAGGAAGAGACTTGAGGTGTCAGAAAAAGTGAAGAAATGCAGATGAAAAGCTGTCAACCTGCTGGTCGTCCCCACTGACACTTTTTCAGCAAGACTTCCACAGCTGCTACTCATTCTGAAAATAACGATAGCTTGTGAATGAAATATCTAACACTATGAACTGAATATACCACATTCCTTTCTTCACTCTTTTAACAGCTCCTCAAATTAGCGCTTTATTAAATTAGCTAACATTTTACTGCTATCACTTTTGATAGTGGGGCAGGGCATGATTTTGTCTAGAGCAAAAAATTAAATACTGTTCTTAAAAGCTATTTACAATAATTATGGAGAAGTGGCATATACTTAAAAAATAAAAACAGAAATAAATTATTGCATAATAATTTATTATTATGCAATAATAATTATTATTATAATTATTTAATATTATTAAGTATTTATTTATGGAAATATTTGAGAGTGGTCAAAATGACTTTTTTTATGAAAATGAAGGGAAAATATATGTTTTCCAAGCATAATTCCACTTAAATGCATAAAAAAAAATGACATTTATGTATTAGACACATTGACCATACTCAAACTGTTAAATTTTTTGTTCCATTATGCATTTTACTTTTGACCAATTTAATTCATCTTAAATAAAAGCTCAATCTCTCACTTATTTATTTAATTTATCACTTTAGTATTTTAATCTTACTCCAAAATGTTGAACGATAGTACATAAGGTATTAGGGTTTAGCACATTTTATATTATAAAATAAAAAAAAAATTTAATAAAAAGATTTATAATGACAGAAAAGAACACATTTAAAATGTTGGGTCACACTTGATGGTTCATTTGTGGAATTTAAGTTACATAGCATCTACATGTCAACTAATTCTCATTAGATTATAAGTAGACTGTTAGGTTGGGGTTAGGGTCCTTTTTAAAATTTGTTGACAAATTTTTTTCAATTTTTGTGACAAACACGTTTCTACCGTCGAAAACTATTTGAAAAATGATGATGACTACTACTATAATTAAAAATATTGAGTAATGTTTTTTTGGAAAATATCTAATCAGAATTAATCTTGGTGTGTGATGCATGAGGAACACACATTTTATAAGTAACGGATCCGCAGTAGACACGAGATGCAATTACATCATCATAAGAGTAGAGTAGACTAAGTCGACTAAAATATTATGAAATTTAGTCGACTAAGATTAAAATGATTCAAAAGACTAAAATATGGCTAAAACTTCAATGGAATTTAAGTCAAAAGACTAAGGCTGCGTCTAAAACCGTATTCTTCCATACTATATAGTACACTAAAATAAGCACACGAGCCGAGTAGTATAGCTGATGATATTCGAAAATCCGTATGCAAGAAGTACCTGGACGACTTACTACTACCGGCGAGATTCCGAAGTGCTTATCCCATGCACGCTGAGCTATCCCAAGATGCCCCACAAAAGAATTCTTGAATGGGAGTGAAGCGACGCAACTGATGCAGATAGGTCACATGACCATGACAGAATGGCAGATGAAGTACGTCCGAGTTTTATTCATACTTATCACATTTGAACTTATCACATTGGAGCTTACTTTTCTAATGCCAGAGTAGTATGTTTAAATTCAAATGCAGTACCTAATGAGTAGTAGGCGGTTTTGGACACAGCCCAAGACTAAAACTAAATCAAAATTTGCTGTCAAAATTAACACTTGTTAGGGTTAGTGTAAGTTGCCATGTACTTGCAAAGTTTGTTATAGTCAGTTACATGTCTGTTCATCAACAGATAATAAGCAGACAGTCTACTATTACTCAAATGGACAATCAAAATAAAGTGTTACCAAACGTTGTATAATAATTATTAAAAAAAATTGCAATATTGCTATTTTTAAAATGCATCCTTATTGAGAATAGTCAAAATTATTAAAAAAAAAACATAAATAAAATAGTTTATAAACAATGTGTATATACAGCCAAGGCTGAAATTATTCCTACCACTGTTAAATTATGACTTAAAGTTACATTTAGTCAACCAGCAAGTTTTTTTGGACCGGTAATGACATGCAAACTTCTCTTAAAAGATAATAAGACAATAAACAAGAGGCATCTTTGTGGAAAAAAAAAATCTCTGCTATTTTTACATTTGAACAAGAACTTGTGACTAATGAATAATTGAATATAAATATAAATAATTTTGGGCTTTATGCTATTACTGCAGCTCTGCTTCTCTGCAGTGTTTAAGCAATGTGAAATGGAAAACCTGTAGTGAATCTAAAAATCTAAAACGGACTGACCACTCAGGTGAAACTCCTGTTGTTCCACTCCACTCACAAACTTTTTCTATCCTTATTCTAGATCAAAGCTGTAAAACCCAAGTCTGTTTTTCAAAATCCCTCAATGCACCACTACAAATTGGTTTCACAGTAAAAGATTGACCTAAAATTCCCTTCACGCTGCCACAAAACTCCCCCAATCCGGCCTCCCCTCTTCATGGGCTCAGCCAGGGCTCTTGGCACAGAGACGGGCAGCAACAGAAGCTCACTCAGGCAGAAGGTTAGTACGTGTGGGTTCAGGAGGGCATGCAGGCTCTCACCTATGTACTGTCCATTGAAATAGCCCTCACAGTCACAGTCTTCTGTAGGAGGCAAGCAGGGAGAGACAGGGAGTGAGCAGAGGAAAGAGGGCTCAGGAAAGGCACTTACACAGGCAGGATCAACAGTTAGACGGGTGGGTAGGAGAGCGGGCAGCAGTCTAGGTTTGTTATTTGGCAGGAAGAAATAAAGGATGACGTGAAAGAGGTTGTTTTAATCCAACTTTGGGCTAAAAATGGACAAATACCCTAGTTTCCTTTTAACGTTTGGTTTAGTAAAGGCAATGCTGTTAAAATGTTTTTCAATTTTTTTTTATTGCATATATATATATATATATATATATATATATATATATTATTTTTTTTACAGCTTGATTATTATTTGCAATTCTTTTATTTTTTTGTTTGCAAATTTTATTTTTATGTCTCAAAAATAATTTTCCCTTTGATGTTTTTAGAGATTTGCATTTATTTATTTATTTTTTCTCAATACTTTATTTTTTTTTTAACATTCTTTTATTTTGCAAGTGTATATGGCCCTAGATTGACTCCATACATGTCTAAACAAATGGATATAATGTGTGTGTAAATCGATGCACAACATGTTGTGCATAAAAGTATATTAAAAAAAAATGTAACATGTTAAAAACCGGTCGATCCATGAGATTGATGCTTTTGTTTGTTTGGTTGGATGGTTTTTCAAAATGGTTATGCTCGATTTTTTTAAACTAAAGCTCAATTTCTCAAAATAAAATAAAATAAAATAAAATAAAATAAAATAAAATAAAATAAAATAAAATAAAATAAAATAAAATAAAATAAAATAAAATAAAATAAAATAAAATAAAATAAAATAAAATAAAATAAAATACACAAATCTCAAGTATAAATGCCGCTCAAAACACTGCTCTCATGTTTCTTGTTTGTTTAGTTCAATGCAGCACAGATGTTTGTGGCTGTGTACATTTTATATAGAGCATGTATTAGTCCATCTCATGAGGAAACAGAACTATTTTACTCTTTGTCAGTTTAGTGGCTATTTCATATGAATTTGTATTCATGATTGAGTTCAGTCATACGAAAATGTACGATTTTAAAAAGGAGGCATGGCACACCCCACCTCTAAATCCAACCATCACTGGGGGATAAGCAAATCGTAATAAATAATACAAATGAGTTCATACTAATTAGCCACTAAATCAATAAGTCACAAATTGGAATGAGATTGTGTTGAAGCATTCAGTGTATATTTTCATAAATAAACATATTGTGTGCTGGTAAATATTTTTGTTCTCAAAACAATGAAATATTATTTTAACTGAATTTCACATAGGGGTTCATCAGTAACAGACAAACAAAAGTCTCAGTTATCAGTAAATGATGAGTCATTTTGGGTGTAAAATGTTTTCCCTATTAAATGCATGAGCTGTTAGTTTTGCCAAATTATGATTAACGGCATGGAAACTTTCACAGTATGTTTGATAATATTTTTTCTTCTGCAGAAAATGTTTTGTTTCGGCTAGAATAAAAGCAGTTATGCATTTTTAAAACACCATTTTAAGGACCAAAGTACTAGCCTCTTTGAGCTATTATTTTATTTTTTTTACGATAGTTTGCAGAACAAACCGTCGTTAAACAATAACTTGTACAATGACTTCAACTATATATGCCAATTTCCATTAATAGGGTACAAAACATGACATTAAATTAATAAAAAATAAGATTGAATAAGAATTAACCTCTGAAGATCAAAAGTGATAATGTTTGCTTGTTTGTTTGTTTGTTTGTTTGGTTGGTTGGTTGGTTGGTTGGTTGGTTGTTTGTTGGAACAGAAATTCAGATATTGAACAGATAATCAGTAACTTTAAGTAATATGTAAAACCAATCAATGTTTTTAATCAAAATTAAATTAAATAATTAATTTGAGTACAAGCATCATTGACATGTTATTATTTTAATTGTGTAAACATGTATTTTCACACGACTGTATATGGGAGAGTTTATCCTCTAAAAATTATTTACTTGTATAAGGAATAAGTGTTCATTATTCCAGGAAAGCGTCATGCATTGGAGTCTCTTGTTGAGTGTGTGCACATGCGTGTGGCATGTAGACTTTGAAGTGACCAGAGAACCGACCTTAATTTCTTTACTTTGTCATTTGTGCATGCTCATGTGTGTGTGTGAGTGCGTGGTTGTGTTTGTGTGTGTGTGTGTGTGTGTGTGTGTGTGTGTGTGTGTGTGTGTGTGTGTGTGTGTGTGTGTGTGTGTGTGTGTGTGTGTGTGTGTGTGTGTGTGTGTGTGTGTGTGTGTGTGTGTGTGTGTGTGTGCAGTTCTACAGCAATTGTAGTTTAGGATTTAAAACAGATTAGGTGACAGACTGGCCTAATATCCTATCCCCATGAAACCTGTGAGCTTGCATGTGTGTGGTGTGTGGTGAATTTGGGTTTCAATGTAATAACTTAGATCCTGAAGACCCACCTTTATCACACCCCTGGTCATCTGATGTCAGCGGTAAAAAGAAAGGGAAAACACATGATGATGAAAGAAACCAGAACCACACACTTCATTTATACTGAACTAGAAAAGCCAGGCCTGGAGTTCAATTATTGAATTGATGTTGTTTCATAAATAGCATCATTCCTACAATATGCAAGAAAAGGTCAGTCCAGCAGTGAAGACCAACACAGAGAAAGAAAAAGAGGAGTGATATAGCGCACATAACAATAGTAAAAGATACAGAGAGACAGAGAGAGAGAGAGAAACAGGCCTGTTGTTGTACTGCAGATGTGTCTGTTCTCTAATCAGCTTTAGATTAGTCAACATGTAGCACTTGGTTAAAGCTCAGTAATCACCTGGCCACTTCACACAAGCCACATCCCCAAATCCTGTCTCTCGTTATTCAACAATGATTAATAACTAAAGATTTTTCATAGATATTTACATTAGATGTCGCCTAAGCCAGTGTTTCTCAACCACGTTCCTGGAGGACCACCAGTGCTACACATTTTCCATGTCTCCTTAACCAAACACACCTGATTCAGATGACCAGCTCATTAGCAGCGACTGAAAGACCTGTAATAAGTGTAATGGGCAAAGGAGACATCCAAAACATGCAGTGCTGGCAGTCCTTCAGGAACGTGGTGGAGAAACACTGGTCTACGCTATTGTTGTTTATTGGAAGGAATGTGTCAATAAAGCCACTATTTTAGTATAGGGTAGCGCTTCTTTGAAATTAAGGCAGGACCAAAGTGCAGTGGAGGACTGGCCATCTGGAGCCAGAGATGTATGCACGTATGCATATATCTATAATCGGGAGTTTTCCCAGTGGTCAGTATGCAAATATTTATTTAAAATTGCGAAAATTATAATAAATCCATCTATATCGATGGATAAGTGACCGCTCGGGCATTGCCGACAAAGAGTATGTGTTTGTGTGCATGGAAATGTATTATACTCCCTCCCTAATCCATGTCCTGAAACACACCTCCAGTCCTGCTGTCACTTTAACGAAGGGAGTGATTCATTTGTGAATGAATCTCTGTTATGAACGATTCATGTGAACATTAAGGGTGCTTTCACATCTGTAGTTCACTTCATTTGGTCCGAACCAAGGGTAATAAATGATACATTGCTGCATTTTCTGCAGTCTTTGAGTCATTTTCACACTACACTGCTGGCTTTGGTCCGAACCAGTTGAAAGAACCAAAAGACAGTCATCTGACAAAATCCACATCTCTCATTGGCCAGATGTTGTTGAACATAGTTCCTAAACTGCTTACCGATTAGTCAAAATTCAAAAATTCATTCAAGTAAACAAACCGGCAGACAAAAATGTCATTTTTTACTATGGAAAGACGACTGCACTGACTGACTGTATCACTAGTTTAGACAAACAATACATTTCGAGAATGAAGTGCGGCCGCAGCTAGAAAACAATGTTTTAATGCATCACATGTCACTTCAAGAGTAGGCGTAAATGAATTCAGCTACACTGCGACATGGTCATCTTGCAGAAATATTACCAATGAATACTGCTCTTCAAGCAGGTCTCGATACGCTTTTTAAGTCCACTTTTGGAGCGCACTCGAGTACGATTGGTACATTCACACCTGCCCAAATGAACTGCACCAAGAGGGAAAATGAACTCTAGTGCGATTCAACCGAACTAAATAAGGCAGGTGTAAAAGCAACCTGATATCCCTGCGTCGTCAATGCCCCGTGATGCACCGAGATGTCGAATTTAATCGAATCGATGGCATGATAATCGTAACCGAACCGTGAGACCATTGTGGGTTCACACCTCTATCTTTAATGCTAGTTGCTGCTACTTTGCCTCATGGTCAGTGCAGTAAGTGACTGTATTGTCATCAGTAAAGTTACTTGTTTAGCACAAACACTAAAAAATGGAATATTACCAATGAAATGCTATGTCTTTATGGTTTGTTTTCTTTGTTTGCTTGTTACTACACCCATACACAGCGCTAGAATCCAGCATCTTCAGATTGGCTGGTAGATCTGTCCTGGGAGCACAGTAAAAATGTGGCGGCAGTATTGACGCATGCTCAGGGCCTGTATGCGATATCTAGTGTATATATCTATGATGCTTGTTTTCAGTAAGAAGGAAGGAAAATACTGAAATACTCACAGACAGCTTTTTTGGGAGATTTGGAGTTTTGAAGAGTGCCCATTTTTATTCTGTAGGCCAAGCGCCTGAGGGGAAAAGCACATGAGGAGAGCTTCAAACAGTGCAGAAAAAAAAAAAACATCAGATCCCTTGACATCAGACACTGGTCTGATTTGATATTCCTGTCTCAGGAGACATCAGATATACTATTGAGCAATATCAAACAAACTCATTGGTGATAGGGGGGAAATAATCTCCCATTCTTAGCATGAGTGTAAAGTATATCCAGCCAAGATGCAACCCACTGTGATGAAAGAATGGACCAAAAGACAGACTGGCCCATTTTTATCCACCTAAAGACCTAAAGGGGAATCATTTGAAATTAATTTTATTGATTTAGCCTAAGGAAATCGCTGTATGTACTGCTGTTTCTAACAGTGGTACAGCAGCTACACTCTCTATTAAACTGTACTCACTGAGCACTTATGTGCAATATGTAGGATTTATTACATGCTTTTATTGCTCACAATTCACATAGTTTTCTTTTCTGGGTGAGTTGGAGGGAATTGCTGTTCTAATAGAGGCTAATGAAGCACACAAATGGGCCATGTGTGACTAGAACAGACATGCAGCCTGTTTCCCATCATCACCAAGGTGAAAATAAGCTTATCTGGCACACTCGGTAGATGTTCAGGGATTTTTAGACACTTCAATCGCATTAGAGAGACTGCTGTGTTTTTACTCAATTTTAACTGAAAAAGATAATACACATTTTTGGAGGACCTAGAGATGAAAAAGCTAATAAAAGCTAAACAAAGACAAGGCAATATTTATATTCTATAATACTATACTATAATAATGTATGTGAAGCAGCTTTTACACAATCTACAAAATAATTCTTGACAAGGTTTTTTCACATTCAAAGTTTGACATAGTTTCCCTCTGAGGGCTGTGTGTAGGGGTAGTAGTAAGGTAAGGCCATTTCAAAGGTGTTTTTTCAGTATAAATACATTATAATGTAAAACACTTGGTGGTTCATTCCACTGTGGCAACCCCTGAAGAATAAAGGGACTAAGCCAAAGGAAAATGAATGAATGAATGAAAATACATTATGCTGAAGGAGAGTCCTCATTAATCACCAAAACTAGCCTATGTGTGTGTGTGTGTGTGTCCATGTTTGCATGTGTTGAATTTTGTGGTTTCATGCAAACTAAACAGTTTTGAGGCCAGGTGTATTTTTACAGTACGTTATATCTGCTCCACCTTTCTTGAAACTGCTTGGATGGGACAAGTCCTGCACGAAGATTGCAGTCACCAATTCTCTTGGCTTGCCACCATGTCTGATCATCCTGACTGACCACCTGCAGGACGTCCCCACGTTTAAAAGGAAGTCCTGCCTCCTGACACGGTGTGGCTTTGTCCTCCAGTGGAGTGTAATCAAACAGTGCCCTCATGTAGACCTGAAGAAAACACCACATATTCAGTTGATAAGACCAATATCGTGGAACAGGCGTGGGCAAACTTGGACCTGGAGGGCCGGTCCCCTGCGAAGTTTAGCTCTAATCAAATACACCTGCTTGTAGATTTATAGTGATTTTAAAGACACTGATTAGCCTGTTCAGGTGTGTTTGATTAGTGTTGGAGCAAAACTGTGTAGGACACCGGCCCTCCAGGACTGAGATTGCCCACCCCTGTCCACCCTGCTGGACTGATTAATGTTAAATCATTTAATCATTTTATTTATCGTTTTATTCTTTGTTTTTGTTTTTATAGCTCTTCACCTTGTTCTCTTGCAGCTTGTCCTCTTCTTTTATTGCCGGGATGATCTTCAGTGTGATGGAACCTTGTGATTGAGACTAAGAAAAAATTAAAAAAGCACTTTTAGGCATAAATGCGAAAATAAATATTTATAATTTTTTTTATAACCAATTGTGGCTTTGAACCACAAAACCAGTCTTATGTTGCATGAGTAGATTTGTCATTCATTCATTGTCTTTTTGGCTTAGTCCCTTTATTAACCTGGGGTCACCACAGCGGAATGAATCACCAACTTATCCAACAAATGTTCTGCGCAGCGGATGCCCTTCCAGCTGCAACCCATCACTGGGAAACATCAATTCACACTCATTCACGCACATACACCATGGTCGACTTTAGCATACCCAATGCACCTATACCACATGCCTTTGAACTTGTGGGGGAAAACCTGAGCACCCGGAATAAACCCACGCCAACACAGGGAGAACATGCAAACTCCACACAGAAATGCCAACTGACCCAGCCAAGGCTTGAACCAGCAACTTTCTTGCTGTGAGGTAATTGTGTTACCCACTGCGCCACTGCTTCACCCATGAATAGATTTGTTGAAATAATTATAATAATTCCTTACATTGTATATAGCGCTTTTCTGGACACTCAAAGTGCTTTACATATTTTTTATGGGGAATTTTTTATGTTACACACCAGTGTGCAACATCCACCTGTATGATGTGACGGCAGCCATATTGCGCCAGACCGCATACCACACACCAGCTGATTGGTGGAGAGGAGACAGAGGGATGAAGCCAATCATGGTATGGGGATGGTTGGGAGGCCATGATGGACTGAGGCCAGTAGGCAAATTTGGCCATGATGCCAACTTTTTTTGAAGGACATCCTGGGATTTTTAATGACCACAGAGAATCGGGACCTCGGTTTAACGTTTCATTCGAAAGACGGAGCTCACTGAACAGTTAAGAGTCCCCATTAAAAGTCAAGTCAGGTTGGCTTTATTGTCATTTCAGCATTATACAGTGCAATACACAGTGAAACGAAACAATGTTTCTCCAGGACCAAGGTGCCACATCAAACAACATAAAATGACAACACAACAGGACTCCACACTACTATAAAAATTTAGAAGAATAAAAAAAAAGACAAACTAAAATAAAAATAAATAGAATAAGAGCTCAAAGTGCAGTTTGTGCAACATTTAGTGCAATGTTGTGGTGTCCGCCGTCTAGAGTCTTGTCTGCACACAGTGTGGCTAACCTGTCTAGCTGAATAGTGGCGTCCAGAACTCTGCCACTCAGCCATGTCTCTGTGAAAACAGACACAGCAGTCTCTGTACTCACTCCTTGTGGCTTGCAGTAGTCTGATGTAGTCAAGTAGTCTGATGTAGTCAAGGGAGCATGTTTGCAAGGAAGACAGATGAAAGAGCAGGCCAGCTAGGGTTAGTTTTTAGCCTAGCATTAGTCACATTCCCTACTTCTGATCCCTCTCGCACCGCTTTTGATGCACCCTCCTTCGCACGGCTTCTGGCGATGCTGGGTTCTGAGGGCCTGGTCCTTGAAGCAAGCCGAGGTCACGAGGCTACTCCCGCAAAACATTGCTAATGCTGTGTTTGTCGAAGTTCCTAAAACTCGCATAGCATAGCATGGTGGTACACAAGGACATCTGTTGTTCTGGTGTCCATTTGTTGCGTAGGACAAGATACATAATAGAAATAGGACCATTTGAGATACGGAGCGGCAGCTGCGAGCTACTGCCACGCCACCATTTTGGATCAACATACAGTACTGGGCCATTAGGACCAACATAGCCCTCAGGTTGACCACCCCCTGCTGGTCTCACTAACACCACTTTCTAGCAGCATCCTAGCTTTCCCATGTGGTCTCCTATCCAGTGGACGACTATGTGAGAGTAAGCCAAAATACATTTTATGAGTCAAAATGTTATTTATTTTAGTTTAATTTCTTATTGTAAATACATTAAATTAAATACATTAAACATGATTTCTGATAAGTAATATACATTTCCAAGAACCTAATTTGTCTCAAATTAAGTAAATTTTTTTAATATCTGATTTTTTGTACACTCAGATTACAGTTATTTTTTTTATCAGATTTTCTCAGCTAAATACAGTTTTTTTTAAATCTTTTTATTGAACCTTGACTGATTTTGTGAACCAGGATCACAAAAATAAAAAGCAGAGTCAACTATTACCAGTAGCTGACTGATCTCATCTGGCCTCTTGTGCATCACAGAGCTTCCGTTAACCTCTCTCAGTTCATCACCGACATGCACCAGGCCTGTAGGAAAAGAAGAACTGCCTAAATTACACATTCACTGCTCCATGTTCAAGCTCCACCTGCTGCGTGACACACTTCATAGCCATAGTTCCAATGCATTTTTAATAAGCAAAAAGATTATTCTGCACACGCACGCACTGTACGCGGACCCTATTCCCATGGCAACAGTGGTGGTCAGGTGGTTAGTGAGTCTGTTTGATTCTCTTGATTGGGTCTCTGGAGGCCATTTCTGACCACACAGATGGGCCATGTGTGACTAGAGCAGACAAGCAGCCCATTTCCCATCATCACCAAAGTGAAAATAAGCTTATCTGGCACACTCAGCAGATGTGCTGTGATTTTTCAGACACTTCAATGGCTTTAGAGAGCCTTTGAAGACTGCTGTGGTTTTTCGCAGATATGCTCAATAGCAATTGAAAGAGATAAGACACGTTTTAGAAGGACATCGAGGGGAAATAGCTTCGCATTGTGATTATTATGGATTTCTGCATAAAGAAAGGCAAGAGATGAAGATTAGAGGAAAATTCTTTGAAGTGTCACTCACCACTTCGGTCGGCAGCTCCTCCCTTCATGATACGAGCCACAATCACAGCCCCTGTGGACTCATCCCGCCGAATAGTGGCACCCTGAGAGATGCAGAAAGACAAAGAGAAGGTTCAGCTGCAGAAAACAACACACAATGACCTAAACACTGGTAGGTGTTTTTTTCGGGAGGAACCTGATCAGTCAGGTGGGTCAGTCAATCATTATGTGTGTATATAGTTGCGGTCATTGCACTGTTTCAGTTGACTTTTGTTCCAGCATCCCTCCAACTCCTCCTGTTTTTTCAAAATGTTTTAAAAAGAAAAAAGGGGAGACTCATACGTGGAGCTTGAGTCAAGCATCAAGCCTTTTTCAAGGATGGGAGGTCCAAGCTCTCTTACGGGTTTGATAGCTCGGGCCCCTGCTTCAGGACAGTAACGGCAAAATCGTTTACCATGTTGATGCAATAGATTGAGCAAGAGAACTTGTGAAGAACAATGTTATTTTGAAGTCCAATAATTACATGAAATGATGTTGCTATGGTGTTGATTTTAGGTTGTGTTGGAAAGCAACCAAAATCCAACGTCGAGCCAACATCATATTGACGTCAAATTCTGACATTTATTCATCAGCTATGGAAGCCAAAATCCATCATCAGATTGGTAACCTCCACACAACATCAAGCTGTAACATCATTACACATTGATATTTGATTGATTTTAGATTGCATTAAAAAGTGACGAAAATGCCAAACCTGTCTGACATTGACATCAATTAATTATATAGCGCTTTATATGGAGCATTTCTGGACACTTAAAGCACTTTACACAATGAGGGGAACCTCCTCATCTACTACCTGGAGATTTTTATTGACCACAAAGAGTCAGGACCTTAGTTTAACATCTCATCTGAAAGATGCTCACTGAGCAGTATAGAGTTTTTTCGGGCAGCAACCTAGCTTTCCAATGTGGTCTCCCATCCAGGTACTGACCGGGCACAGCCCTGCTTAGCTTCAGTGGGTGACCATGTGAGAGTTGCAGAGAGCTAGCAGCCGGCATAAACGCCAAACTGATTTTCATTTCCAAAAAAACATTCAGCGTCCCACGACATTGAGGTACAATGCCAATCTGATGTCATGTTGACGTTGTGTGCCTGCTGGGTTTATACTAGTGATGGCTGCTTTTGAAGCACTGCTTCATGAAGCTTTAAAACTTTTACAAATATTTTGTTTAGAATCAGTGGTTTTGGAGTGTGTATCAAATTGGCAAGGTTATGTGATTTCAGTAAACATGGCTCTGTTATATCATAACACTTTCTAAATGTTTCTCCATAAGGGGGCCATCTGTGTAATACCCACAGACTGTGTAGGTAATACCATAAAATTCACATGAATCATACAGCTTAATTCAGATTCACCCACCAGTGGTGAATCTCTGAACAGGTTTCATAGCAATCGTCCACATACTGTAATTAGCTAGTCATTCACTGTTTCAGTAGAATTTTCTTCCAGCATCCCTCCACCTCCTCCTCTGTTTTTTAATAAATGTTTTAAAATGGGAGTTACTTATGCTTTAAGTCTCGAGCCTCCTTCAAGGATGGAAGGTTCGAGCTCTCCAAAGGGTTTGATAGCTCGGGCCCCCGTTTCAGGTCAGCACTGCCAAAATCGGTTACCATGTTAATGCAATTGATTAAGCAGGTGAACTTGTGAACGACAATGTTATTTTGATGTCCAAAAACGATGTGAAATTATGTTGATGTTTTGTTGATTTTAGGTTGTGTTGGAAAGTGACCAAAATCCAACATCGAGCCAACATCTTAAACCAACATCATATTGAAAATCCAGCAATACCACTTGAGCCTAAAATAAAGCTTTATGTGAATTACAAGAGTGTTCATAGTGAGCTGAATTTACATTAATCTTCTTGTGACATGAAACTAAACTTACATGACTAAAGCACAACGTGTACTCTTCCTCATGAAATGAGTTTAAGGGTAAAATTTTGCCTCAAGATCAATTTGCGAGAGCATTTTGAAAATCTCCGTTTTTCAAACTATTTTTCACCACAGTCACTGCTTTCATAAGCTCAACAGAAACATATGTGATTGGTTAAAAGACTCATAACTGCAAGTAAAATAACACTTGGTCGCTGTTCTCATGCTGTAGTTGTTTCTTTCTCTCACCAGTGGTTCTTTGTTTTTGACGAGGCGGACGATCTTGACAGACTCCTCGTCTAGTTCATCCTCAAAGTCATCAGGCAGAGGAGGCAGCACAGGGTCAAAGTTCTTCTGTGCCACTGTGTCATGAACTGACAAAACCGCCTAATATCCAGAAGGGACATGAACAGGCACAATTAGTTTTACACTGACAGTTACAGTATAGTGAAGCTCTGAAGATGAAGGTGTTCTTTATACCTTGAGATGAGGAGATGTCAGCAAATGTAGCAGCTCTTTTTCCTCAACACTCATTGGTCCACTTTGCAACTCCTCTGCAACCTGCCAATCAGTAAAGGTAGACATACAGTAAGTTAATTTAGAGTAATTAAAGCATGGCATGAAATGGATGATGTACAGTATATCTAAACGAAACAGATTCTTGAACATGAGGAAATACAGAAAATACAGGTTAATTTTGTGGCATTGATCGGATGGTTGGATTGTTGAGAATTGTTCCTAGACATCTAGAAAATAACAGCTTTTCATTTACCGAGGGTTAGGGCAGCACAATAAATCAAAAAAGATCACAATCTCGATTCAACCCTACACATGATCTTAATTCAGCATTTCTACGATTCAGCCAATTATATTTTCAAGGTCAGGAGAGAAGCAAGGCAGTCGCACAAGTCTTCACAGCAACATTGACACCTTCAAATGGCGTTAAAAGTGTCACATACTGTATTAATAAGGTATAATTCACCCAAAAATGTCATTTCTTTCTCCATGTAATGATGTATTCGCGGACAAAAAAATCACACATGAGCTGACTGCCAGCTGTTTATCTACCGAGAACGTGCGCGTGCACGCATGATGCCTACTTTAGTGAACACAACCTGCATAGGCTGTGAATAAGAGGTAATGAAGTTACACAGAGCAATCGTTTGAGGGCCGTGCGGAAGGTTTGATTTGCATGTATGTGTTTTTTCTCATGGTGACAGCAGCCATGAGCCGCATTAGGAAGTGAAAGTGAAACCTGTGCACACATCATTTAAATGATTATATTGCTTTTACAGTTATGATTATGACAAGCATTTGATATGTTTTTTTCTTTCATAGCAAACACAAAGTGTTGTGCATGAAATAAATGTTTACTGTGTCAGTATAACAACCCTAGCCTATATATAATGTTGAATATAATGCAAGAAGGATACTGATAATGACAAAATTAAAATTTTATTTGTGAAAACAAATGGTCTAATAATGTTGTCAATGGCCGATGACAAGCACATGACTTAAACATAATAAATCATATTATTATATTAAACAGACATATTGAAAATCTGTTCAAGTCCACCATAATGTCTACACAAAGCTTTGCATTTTAAACAACAGTAGAGCTACACATAGGCCTAATATTATTATTGTTGTTTTACCGTATGTTTGAGAATTAACAATAATAATAGGCTAATCATATTAACCTTATTTTACATTTACAGAATCGTAAGGAAAATTGTGATCTTGATTTAATGCAAAAAAAAAAAATCGTGATTTTCAAATTTTTGACAGAATTATGCAGCCCTACCGATGGTCTACACAATGTAACTAGAGAAGAGTAAAGCTTTAAATAGTAAAATTATCAATATTTTTGACTCCTTTTACAGTGAGATGTCCATGCTTTATCTGATTCTATTCTATCATCTATGCTAAGCTAAAAGTGCTCCTACCAGACCCAGAGACCAGCTGAAAAATTTCTAAAATTGTAAAGCTTAAGTGTTTAGCTAAAAGGAATGTGTAAAATAAAAATAAATAATTATTAACTTTTCCATGAAAATGTACCACAGAAAGTTGCTCTGTCACACACTGTTACCCCCTCATTCCCTGCAGATGTCATGAAACTCTGGTCTCATGTATTACAATAAAAGATCATTAATCTTGCTTGTGGTGATGTGATATGTAAGGCTGTAGCACTTACATCCTCTGCCAGCGTGGAGGCACTGTGGAGAACCGGGGTGGGGCTCTGCTTCTCATACTGACGCAACTTCTCATGAATCTAGCAAACACACAATGCACATGTATACAGAACATTAGGTGACTAGCGTCTTACATATTTGCAGCTATATATATTCTGTCACTAGAGTGGTACCCTTTCAGACAGTGCACATGTGTACATAAAGGGTCTTTATTGGTACCTTAAAACCACATACAGTTGAAGGCAAAAAAAATAGCCATCTCATACTATGTTAATGATTAAAAAATTACTTTTAATTAAAATATTTCCCAAGTGATGTTTAACAGAGCAAGGATATTTTCACAGTATTTTCTATCACTTTTTTCTCCTTTCTTTATTTTGGCTGGAATAAAATCAGTTTTTGATTCATTTACAGTTGAAACCAGAAGTTTACATTCACTGTATAAAAAGGCACATAACCATTTAAAAATTCAGATGTTAATGTGACTAAACTTTTTCTCTTTTAGGCAAGTTAGGATTATCAAATTTGTTTCTGTTATGCTTAATAGCAGAATAATGAGAGAGATATTTTTGAGAAATTGTTATTACTCTTCTTAATAGTCAAGTTTACATACAGTACAATAAGATTATTAACATTATCTATTAAAGAACATTATGTAGAAATACTAAAGCAACATCTCAAGTCATCAGCCAGAAAATTAAAACTTGGCCACAAATGGGTCTTCCAAAAAGACCATGACCCTAAGCATACTGCCAAATTAGGTAAAATGTGCTTTAAGTACAACAGAGTTAATGTTTTGGAGTGGCCATCACAAGGCCCTGACCTCAATCCTATAGAAAAAATTGTTGGCAGAGTTGAAAAAGCTTGTGCGAGCAAGACAGTCTACAAATCTGACTCAGTTACACCAATTCTGTCAGGAGGAATGGGCCAAAAATCATTCAAACTATTTTGAAAAACTTTTGGAAGGGTACACAAAACATTTGACCAAAATAATAGTTTAAAAGCAAATCTAAAAAAAATACCAAGTAAATTTATGTAAACTTTTGACTGTCTAGAAATTAATAAAAATTCTCTTTAAAAAATGTTCTTATTATTCAGGCATTTAGCAAATGTAAATCATTTAGGTAGTCCTGACAGACCTAAAATAAGAAACGTTTAGTTTGATTTACCATCAGACGTCTTTTAAAAAAATTGTTATGTTCCTTTTTTAGAGTGTATGTAAGCTTCTGGTTTCAACTGTATATACATCGAGAGAGAAAGAGGGAGTCAATATTATTAGCTTCCTTATGATTTGACAAACCAATGACTTGTCTGAGTAAATTTATACAAGTCATTTAGACTTGACTAAGTTATTTAGACTTTTCTAAATAAACCAAGGGGGACATGGTGGCTCAGTGGTTAGCACTGTCGCCTCACAGCAAAAAGGTCGCTGGTTCGAGTCCTGGCTGGGCCAGTTTGCGTTTCTGTGTGAAGGTTGCATGTTCTCCTTGTGTTGGCTTGGGTTATCTCCAGGTGCTCCGGTTTACCCCACAGTCCAAAGACATGCACTATAGGTAAACTGAATAAACTATGTTGCTCATAGTGTATGTGTGTGAATACTGTAAGTGTTTATGGATGTTTCCCAGTAATGGGTTGCAGCTGGAAGGGCATGTGTAAACATATGTTGGATAAGTTGGTGGTTCATTCCACTGTGGCGACCCCTGATTAATAAAGGGACTAAGCCAGAGGAAATTGAATGAATGACTAAATAAGCCAACGTAAAGTGAGTGAGTCAGTGAATAAGGTTAAGTAAGTTAACTAGGCCAGTTAACTTAATTAAACCTACCCACTGACTCACTCACTTTACTTGGCTCATTTCCTGTTTTATCAGGATTTTGCCTTGAACTGTATTAGTACCAAAAATGTCAAATTATATAAAATATATTTTTGTACTGTCTGTAACCTTTAAGCTATCTATATCAGTTTGTGACAGCTTGTGTACTTCTATTTCTAAGAGAATAAGTTACTCACCTTTGGCTTATTCTCTCAAAATGTACATTTATTTGCAAATAATGCATGTTGTAAGCAGTACTTGTATGAAGCAAATTCAAAGTCAATTCAAAATACTGCATAAAACTCACAAGCCCACCTTCATCAGGCAGCTGAGGCTCCTCTCACTGAAAACATCCCTGAGGAAGACCATGTCCTCTTTATGATTGGCATCTGGACGCAGCTGTGAGGTCAGCAGGGCAAGCGTCTCGTGCAACCCTGCATGTAAACAGGAGATGAGTGAGTGTCATTGTGGCTGTACATTAATAAGTGTGTTTGTTTGGATCTGTACCTCCTCCTGCAGAGAGGACTGGCATGGCTTCTTTCATTGATCAGGAAGGGGTTGACCTAAAAGAGAGGTAATCAGTCGTTAAAATTATTCAATAGCATTCATCTTAGATTTAATTCTGCAATAAAGAGCTTGGCCGAATACAAATATTGGTGATTAGGGACTATATCAGAGGCCATATCAAATAAAATAATATTTTAATGTTATCTTTATTGGTCTGATAACAAAATTGGGGAAATGTCTTTAAGCCAATAAATGAAGTATTTTCTGCAAGTTGAACCACTTCACGTCATAGCTATCTACCACTTTTTTATTATTTTACTGGAATTTAATATTGGTTAATCTTTAGTGACTTGGTTGCTTTATTTTTGCTGGGAAGTAAATTTTATATAAAAGAAGGTTGGCCATAGAAAATAATAATTGATAAATAAAATTCAATTCAAGATCAATTCAAACTTTTCTGAAGTTAAGGTTTTAAAAAAGAATCAGGTGTTCGTTGTTTATGCTTGCCTTTTGCTTTTTGTTTACGCAATCATGCAGATTACAATATATACAATTTTATTTACAGATTTACAATAAAATTACAATATATATATTTATACAGCAGTTCTGTCTGGTTCTCATGGAAAGCGGATTAAGCGTCAAGCGCGAGTGATTTACATGTTAAGTCAATGCAAAGGTGTGAATAGACATCTTGTGGCGCAATTCGTGCTACGCCATTCGCACACAAATGGCGAGGTGTGAATAACGCAATATGCGCGAATATCGCGGCACGAATTGAGCGTTTTATTGTTTCGCGCAAATCGCTCAAGTTTGAAAATGTTAATTAACATGAGCTTGCTCTTGTGGGGGCGTGATTATGACGTAGCGCCTGTTGTTGGTGTCCCAGGGGAAAATCCCCCTGCACGCCAGAAAATCAAATGAAGCGAGTAAACTCAAATGTCTGGTGTCTATTTACGTGCGAATAGTGCAATTTGTACGCTTACTCCGCTAACATAGAGTGACAGCAGATCAACAAACTCACTACAGTTTGACAAATATTGCAGCTGTTGGACAACATGATGTACTTTTAAGGCCTTTTTATGCTGGGCTTTTTGTGAGTGACTTTCTAAGTCCATCTCTCTCTTTTGTATGTCGTAGTGCGGTATTCACACCATAGTAATTGTAGTATGCAGAGTGTGAGATGGCTCACAAATCAGGAATGTATGTATTTTCTGTTGGTCACTCTTTATATAACCCTGAGTTACTTTTTGTTTGGCCATATGTTTGTTTCTAATGAGTCTCCTGTTTTTGTTCCTGCAGAATAGTTCATTAAAAAAAGAAGAAATGCCTGCATGTGTTTAGCGTTTTTCTTATCGCAAACACAACAGTAATCTGGTAGTGTTTGCACTGTTTTGGCTTTTTCAGAGTTAATTATTGTGATCTCCCAATTGCAACAGAGAAATACTGGGAAATCTCTGTAGACCTCAGCCTTATAATCTTAAAATGTCAGCAAAATCACCTGTTTTGTCATTATTTTAGACATTAGGCTAGAGAATCATTCAAATACTAGCTCAAAAGTGACGTGTAAAGTAGCAACAGTTTCTGCTTTTTTATATACAAAACAGCTAATATTAGACTATCATCCTCCAAATTTAAAGTTATCGGTTATGAGTACCAGTCAAAAATTATTGTCAGATCATCTCCCAAGTTAGCATCTTTAGCATTACAGTATTGAAGGTGACGACTATGACAATTTATATGAGCACAATTAATTACTAACTCCTGTTAACCAATATGCTTTCAAGCTGTTTCTAAAAGACAAAGACACACTAATAAACAAACAGAAATGGGTAAAAAAAGTATCCCATCAGCCATTTGCCTTGAGGAAAGATGTGTATTTAGCCTGCACTCTTAGAAACAAAGGTACAAAATCTATCACTGAGGTGGTACCTTTTCAACAGGTACACTTTCGTACCATACAGGGGGACATAAGCATCTTTACTGCACACTTTTGTACCTTTATGTTTCACTTTTTTACCTTTAATGTACAATGAGGTACAGTACATATTTGTACTTTTGTTATTGATATGTACTTTTAAAGACCTAACAAAAATGTACCTTTTGAAAAGGTACTGCCTCAGTGACAGATTTTGTACCTTTATTTCTGTGTGGATTTAAAAATGTTTATAGAAGAACCTTGCCTTATGGCAATAGTGTCAATAATATTCCAAAGCCTGGGGGGACAATCTCCATTACATTTAAGCCTTGATTTAGAAGTAAACAATTAGATCCTGGTTGGAGAAACCAAGGGATCTAGTAGGTTGATGCTCAATCTAAAGCTCACAGAGATAAATTGGTAACAAACCATTTTGACATTTGTAAATAACAAGCTGAATTTTAAAATCAAATCTAAAACAGGTAGCCCAGCAGTGTAGTGAACAAAACCGAAGTTATATGCGTCCTCCCTATTTTTCACCTTACTCAAATATCAAGTCGCACCACAGGCCAAGCTGCATCCCAAAATATAGTTGCAGTACAGTTCAGCCTATAAATAAAAGCATGAATAACATCCTCAAAACCAAGAGAAATTTTGCAGAATTTGAGCAATCAGTGATCTTTGACATAAAACATGTCAAAACACGTTTGAAGTGCCCTAATGGATTTTTAAATATTATCATTCATGCAGCGTGTAACATCGAAATGCATAGAACAAGACAATAAAAGTGTTTTTAACCTTAGACTGCCAGTTGTTGGGAACTGCAAACCAAATAACCCAATCATTTTATAACCCATAATGGGGCATTTTAAAGGTGGTAATTCTGAATATGCTTTAGTATCCATCATGATCTACAAATTTATCCTTCACAAGTTTACATGTCATCTGATCTTTATGTATATGGCCCAGTGTAGAGTCTCAAATATAGCATTATCTGGAGATTCTTGAAGAGACAATATAATCGATTAGTAACAGGTATTCTAAAAGTCTAGAAGAATATGTCAGATTATAACTGAAATCCTTGAAGTTTCATCCTTGTAAAACTGAGATTTGAAACTGTAAGTGAAAGGGAAACAACCTCTAAACAACAAACATTTTGTTATGATTAGGCATTTTATAATTTGTCATGGCAGGGCAAGTTTTGACATCAGCACTGCTACTTGAACTTGAACTGAATGGAATCAATATTCAATTGAGCTCCATAATTACACTTGCCTTCCGTAAAGCTTCTATTAGCTGAATTGAACTTGTTCCATTGGTGATAAACCTTGCGACACTAAAACAGTAATTGCACTCAACTGAAACAATAATGGATCACACTGCCCAGCAAACACTTTTGTGTTAAATAGACATCTAATAGACATCTAAGCGTAGACAGCTTGGCTAAAACAAGGCTTAACTTGGGCTGTCAATGAAAATCTAAAAGTCGTCTAAGAATAAGCCAAAACTAGATTAGTCATCAAATAAACAGAAATGAATGACTACACATATAAAGTCTGTCTAATCTGTCTATTTGACGACTAGGAACAAAACTAGACTAGTCATCAAATAGACAGACTTTATATGTGTAGTCATTCATTTCTGTTTATTTGATGACTAGTCTAGTTTTGGCCTATTCTTAGACTTCTATTAGATTTTTATTGACAGCCCAAAGTTAGCCTTGTTTTAGTCAAGATGACTATGTTTAGACGTCTACTAGACATCTATTAGACATTTTATAAAAACAAAAAATGCTTGCTGGGTGAGCTAAATAATGACACCAATAATGTATTTCACAAAGCTGCTTAATATTACATATTGCAGTTAAACTCAGTTAATCTAGTACATTAAAATCCAACTAAACATACAGCATGACCAGACACCATGCTCCAAACAAACAAAAACATCACCGATAACAAAAAAAAAAACTGCACAAAGGTGACACCTATGGCTTCATTTTATAATTTATAATAACCATTTAATCCTCCATCAGTCTGTTCGTCTGTCATTTTGTTTGTGTGTTTGCTTGTTTGAAGAGTTCAGACATCAAAAAAAGTGTCGTCAGAAGTGTTTTTTTCAAAGAATGTCTTTCAAAATGAGCATTTTTTTTTACATGTGTAGGTTCAGTAATTTATTTTTTTTTATTGCAAAGCATAGTTTATTGTCATTGTCTTGAACCTGAAATAACTTTTTAACAAAGTTTTAAATTTAGAAGAACATCTCAGATGGCACTTGGCACTTTTTTCATAAATTAAATTAAATTAAATTAAATTAAATTAAATTAAATTAAATTAAATTAAATTAAATTAAAGTACAAATTAAAGTATGGTTGCAAAGCTGAAACATAAAAAATGAACAAATGAATTAAATTAACAATTTTTTAAATATATTAAATTTAAAATATAAAAAATATATATGTTTTTCTTCTTCTACTTTCAATCTCTTGCTGGTTTCCTGTAGGCTCTGTAATCTGTTTAAATGCCTGCAGTCAATATCCCATCACTTTTAAGCATGCAACTTATATTTCACAGCGTTTTACTGAGTGTGCATTGCCTTGATATGATTAACAAACCTTCAGCCATGATAAAGTGCTAGAAGAGAGAAGAGAGAGAGAGAGAGAGAGAGAGAGAGAGAGAGAGAGAGAGAGAGAGAGAGAGAGAGAGAGAGAGAGAGAGAGAGAGAGAGAGAGTGACTGGACGAGATGAGTGATGCTGTTCTGTGGACGCAGAGAGACCAGGAACACAAAGCTCAGAGTAGTGCCACAACTTCCTCTCTTACATGCTTTTTACCACACACACACACACACACACACACACACACGCACACACACACACACACACACACACACACACACACACACACACACACACACACATACACACATCTCAAAGCAGTTCAGTGCTGCCATACTTTCAGTGTGCCCAGTGAAACAGAAATAGCATTCTCACAAGCAATGATCCAACTGGAAAAGAGGCGAGAGACAAAAAATAGAAATACTGCAGTTTCTCTTCCACGTAACACTCAACAGAAGGAGTGCTGCAATGTGGGCCGAGTTGAACCAGTTCAACATGAGCTACAGAGAAGCTCACCTCTGAAAGTCTACAAAGAATACTGATGCAGACAGAATGATGTCAAGACCGAGCTCATTGTTTACTTGAACACAATCACAGATGAATGAAATCTAATCAAGCTACTAATTTTACAGATCTCATGCATCACAATTGTGAAAATAATTAGATGAACATCTGTGACTGTTCCATGCAGTGACTCATAATGCAATATCATATGCATTTCCCGTTGTCCCTGTAGAAAATAATAATAATATTTACTGTATTTACATATAAAAATACACCTGTCCAACACTGTGCTTACAATACATAAATCACAAATATATACACTGTAAAAGACACTTAACTGGAGCCAACTATAACAGCATAAAGCTGCATTCAATTCTCTGCAGTATCAGAAGAGTGAAAGTGAGAAGTAATAATCTCATCATGGCCACCACAGACAGCAATCCACAATCACTTTTACTCTAGAAAGGATGATGTCATTCCACTTTCTGCTGTTCTGGTAATGATGTAATTGGCAAAAGAGCTTTGTGGAAGCAATACACAGGGGTATGAGGTGTTTTAAAGGCTGTTAATGGCTATGTGTGGCATGTGTGTGTGTGCCTTGTATTCCTTACATTGTGAGGATGAGATGTTTCAGCAAGTATAGTCATACCAGTACATTTGGACTTTTTTGTCATTATTTTTGGAATCACACAGAAAGAAGTATTTTCCAAAAGTAAATATTCTGGTTGCTTCCCGTGAGGTTTTGGTTTGGGGCTAGGGGGATAGAATACAGATTGTACAGTATAAAAATTATTACATCTATGGGAAGAAAGGTGCGTGTGTGTGTATGAAAAATATACAAGCATTCTATCTCTCCAAAACATCCCTATTCTTGTTAAGTTGTCTTGTTTACACTCTAGATAAACAATAATAAAAAAATAATAATAGATAAACATATTAATAGTTGCCTTTTCCATTTATTTACACTTTCAAATTGGACCTTTTAAAGTACAAAATGTTACTCTACATTTCTAACAAAGTGATAAAGTGAAAGAACATCATGTTTTGAAACAATATTATAGACAATAATACATTTACTGAAAAAAATCCTTTACCAGAAAAAGTACTGGCAGCTCATTATCCAATGTTTATACCATAATTTACCAAAATTCTCTTTGTTCAAATTTTCAAAAGCAAAAGTTAAATACATAAATAAATGTAAAACACCCATAAATTATAAACCATTTGAAATCATAAACAAATACATGTTTCAACAGTGTGAAATCAAACAATGTACACTCACCGGCCACTTTATTAGGTACACCTGTCCAACTAATCGTTAACGCAAATTTCTAATAAGCCAATCACATGGCAGCAACTTAATGCATTTAGGCATGTAGACATGGTCAAAACGAACTGCTGCAGTTCAAGCAGAGCATCAGAAAAGGGAAGAAAGGTGATTTTAAGTGACTGAACGTGGCATGGTTATTTGTGCCAAATGGGCTGGTCTGAGTATTTCAGAAACTGGTAATCTACTGGGATTTTCATGCACAACCATCTCTAGGGTTTACAGCGGTCAGAAAAAGAGAAAATATCCAGTGAGTGGCAGTTCTTTGAGCAAAAATGCCTTACTGATGCCAGAGGTCAGACTGTTTTTAACTGATAGAAAGGCAACTGTAACTCAAATAAGCACTTGTTACAACCGAGCTATGCAGAAGAGCATCTCTGAACGTACAAAACGTTTAACCTTGAGGCGGTTGGGTTACAGCAGCAGAAGACCACACCGGTTGTCACCCCTGTCAGCTAAGAACAGGAAATTGTGGCTCCAATCCGCGCCATGCTCACCAAAATTGGACAATAGAAGATTGGAAAAACATAGGCTGGTGTGATGAGACTCGATTTCTGCTGCAACATTCGTATGGTAGGGTCAAAATTTAGCATCAACAACATGAAAGCATGGATCCATCCTGCCTTGTATCAATCGTTCAGGCTGGTGGTGGTGTAATGGTGTGGGGGATATTTTCTTGGGCCCATTAGAACCAATTAAGCATCATGGTAACGCCACAGCCTACTTGAATCTTGTTGCTGACCATGTCCATCGCTTTATGACCACAGTGTACCCATCTTCTGATGGCTACTTCCAGCAGGATAACGCACTGTCATAAAGCGTGAATCATCTCAGTCTGGTTTTTTGAACATGACAATGAGTTCACTGAACTCAAATGGCCTCCACAGTCACCAGATCTCAATCCAATAGAGCATCTTTGAGATGTGGTGGAACTGGAGATTCTCATCATGGATGTGCAGCCGACAAATCTGCAGCAACTGTGTGATGCTATAATGTCAACATGGACCAAAATCTCTGAGAAATATTTCCATTACCTTGTTGAATCTATGCCACCAAGGATTAAGGCAGTTCTGTAGGCAATAAGGGGTCCAAACCGGTACTAGTAAGGTGTACCTCATAAAGTGGCCAGTGAGTGCATATGCTTTATACACATATAAGAATAATTTAGAATTAATTGTAAACAATGATTTTGAATGCAGTTGTAATGAAAAAAACTAATGTTTAATGTAATGTAAAATCAAATTTGCATGGTCTGTCCATTTGCGTTTTGACATAAAAGCATGAGCACTTCATCATGTATGCTATTTCTGTCCAGCACAGCTTAGAGGCCGTTTTTATTTATGTATTTATTTATTTATTTATTGCTTGAATCTAAGAAAGCCATGAAAACACACACATTCAAAAAAATCTCTGCAGCCTTATTGTCTTTGAAGGTCTGTTTGGGTCACACAATCTTCAGAAGATCTGTTTGGTCTTCCCAAATCTCACGGATATGCTGCGCTTCAGAACACTGAATCCAGTCTGGTTGTTAAAAAGGTTAAGGGTGTATAAAACAGAGTTAATGTAGTTAGTTGAATAGTGCTGTCTGCCTGCTGTCTGGAGGATATTTACTCACTGAGAACGATTAAGGGAACCAGGGGGAAAATCTCATTTATATGGAGGTTCGTGTTTCCATAAAACCCCTCCACAATTTTATTTATTTGAAATAATAATTTTCATTTAACCTCAGTAGACTTCATACTTTTTTTTTTTAACTGTGAAGTTTCACAAATTATTTTTGAGAGGAGCACGTGATTTGATTGATCACAGCTGGTCTCTCATCTGTAATTATTAGTAAACCAAGCAGATTATTCCAAATTCACTATGAATAGTCCGTCTAGCATTACTCCCTTGTTTTGTTTTTTGAAGAATTCCCCCATCCACCCCATCTCCCCTTTTTTCCTTTACTAGGTGCAGCTCTTAAGAACTACCTGTATGCCCACTGACTAGGTGGGAGCCCTGGGCTCAATTATCTCTGAGCTCAGGCTTCTCTGCCAAATATTATTATCAATCAATATCTGTGAACACTTGAAATATTATAAATGTTGGATTCCTTATTATCAGGAAATACTCCTGTATGTGTTAAAAGTAACTATTATTTTACTTTTTTTTCAGCAACCCAAAAATCACAGATTTTTTTTACAGTGTATCATCATCCTATACCTGTTGTAGTATTTCGCACAGAACAACAGAACCAGAGCTATATTACAATATCAAAGGAAACCTAATCTTACTTTTAAATACTCCAGGGCCCTTTCAACGAAAAGTGTCACATCTCTGTGACGTCCAGGAGCGAGACTTCACATAAGTGCCAAATAGGATTTATAAATAATAATCTAACCCCAGGGTGTGAAAAGTCAACCATCACAACTGAAGCAGAATGAGAGATAAGGATGCCAACACATTATCAGACATCTGTTCACACATTTTCCTGGACCATCTTCAAAAACGGCAAACATCTGATAGGAATACAAACCCCACGCATGTCAGATTTTTTGCAAGCAGAAACTCATCAATAGTTCAACTGCCTGTTGGCATGAATCAAACTCAAATAAGCGATGCTTCTCTAACCCTGCGCCCACATCTAAACATACCCTGACCATTAGAATTCAACTCGCACTGACCTAATTCTCTTTCACTTTTATTGTTGCATTGCCATGTGCAACACATTCAGGAATGCATGCACAAGCAACAAACAAATAGATCAACTACTACTGACAATAATGCATCCAAAGTGGCACGTTTTCCTCAGCAGTGTTTATGAAAGCATCAATACTTTCACTTACTTTCTCTTTCTTCACAGATGCCTAAAGCATCCCCTCTCTCTCTTTCTCTCTCGCTCTCTCTCTCTCCCATTATATTATCTGAATCTCTCTCTCTTCCTCCATCTGCACTGCAGTGCTGATTTGCACATATGCCACTGATTGGCTCCAATAGTAGAAAAAAATCCCCTCAAAATCAGATAATCACCATAACACAGACCTAACACACAATCACACAAGATGCAGGATCTCAAACCAGGCCTTGCTTTGTTTAGCTCAGGTGTAAAGAAGCTAATAATCATAATAAAAAAACACAGCAGCCTACCTCTGTCTCTGTCTTCTCTCTTTTTTTCCCCTCTAGTGTCTCCAGATCTGTCGCTCCCAGACGGTTGCCTGACTGATCCTTCCGCGATGAGTGACTCTTCCTCCGGCTGCCGCCCCTTCCGTCTGTCGCTTTTCTATCTCTCTTGGTCTCTCTCTATATTCCACACACACAAACACAAACCCCCTCCTCCCCTTTCCATCCTCCATCCACTCCTCCCCTCTGTTCATCGTATGCTTATTCTCTCTCTCTCTCTGTCTCTCTCTCACTCGGCTGTCATTTTTTTTTTCTTTATGTCACCAGAGACAGAAGCAGGTGGGCGCTGTAGGACATGCACGGTTTGTGTTTTCCTCCAGTGGGCATCTTTTTCTCTCCCCCTTCTGTCTTTTTTTCTCTTTAGATTATTGTGTTCTCTTGAGCAGCTCTGAAAGCCTGAGCATTCATTGACTCGCAGTCATTTAGGAGATATGGAGGCAGTAAGTCTCTCTCTCTCTCTCTCTTTCTCTCTCTGTCTCCCCCATCCCCCGTCTCCCCTCATCCAGAGTGTTTTTGTGTGTTTGGGTGTGAGACTGTTGCTGTTTCTTTGTTGTATGTATAGGAGAATTAATGCACTGTTCATTTTCAGTTTTTATTTTTATTTTATTTTTTATAAATATAAGTTGTTTTACCCCCCAGAGGTAAAGTATGGTGTAGAATGTGATATTGAAAAATATTGTTTTTCTTTTAAATATGCACATGAAATTTTTTTTAAATATTTGCTTATTATGCACATACATATATATTAAATGCATATACATTAGATTAGTCATTGAGCCAAATCTGGAGCTTATTAAACTAAATAACTTACAAATAAGTCCAAAAACCAGTACACCCAAATTTATGTTATATTAAATACACATTTAAAAAGAGGGAAAATCATGAGAAGAAAAATATTTAAAGATTTAGTTGACATTTTGTAGATTGTACCTCATTTTTGCAATATTTTGCTTAAATTTTATTGTTTTATCTTTCAGTTTCTAAGTATGTTTGGCTTCTAAAATATATTTTAATAAATATATCTGTTTAATAAATCAGTTTTGTTTAAATGCACCAAAACACATTGCCTTTATTCACTGACAAATATATGAAAATATTCATTTTCAAAATGGGGTGTACTCAATTATGCTGAGCACTGTTTATATTTTTGTTCCCACTTTTTATTAAGTGACCCTAACTACAATGCACTTGCATCAAAAAATGAGTACAATGTAATTACTGTGTTCAGAATGTATTGCAGAACACTTCTGGTGCTCTTTAGGTGCCATACGGCAGGCCCGGATTGGCTAATCGGGAGGACCGGGAGAATTCCCGGTGGGCCGGTCCGGTTTTTGGCCACGAGGGCCAGTGTCCCTAGCTGCTTGCACTCTCAGCAGTCGCACTTTTTTTCATTTTTTTATTTATTTGACCATAGCCTCACTCTTTCTATTCATTATTTTGCCGCAGCTCCGCGCTTATTATTTATTTTCTCGCAGCCCCGTGAGCAAAATGTAGCCTGCAGGTTAATGATGACGTAACAAACAGCGGCACCTTAGTGAATATAAGAATTCAAATAATTAATATTAATGAATATTACACCTGCTCAATGAAAATCAGATGATTCACTAAATTAATAAATCTGACATAAAATGATCAGAAATCCATTGTGGTCCAGTGGTCAGCACGTTGCGTTGCCACACTGCAGGACCCGAATTCGATCCTTACCTTTCTATATCAATTTATTTTTTTATTTATTTTTAAAATTTTTATTGTTAAGACATATAATACTGTTTGGGTTGTTGAACATTTAAACTTATAAAGCAGCTGTTATCTTAAAAAATACGTGATCGTGTAATTAGAAACTGAATTCGAAATGACGTTGTTTTATTATAGTCAGTCGTGAACTGAGGTGGGCCGGTCTAAGGCTTATAACTCCAGGGCTGAAAAGGAGTCCCACTCCGGGCCTGCCATACGGGTAAGGTTAGGGACAGGTTTGGTGGTCTGGGTAGGTTTAAATGTGTTAGGAATGGTCAACAGTGTAATTAAAGATGTAATTACAGAAATTGTTTACAGATGTAATTGCATGCATGCATTTAATCAATCAGGAGTGAAATGTAAAAACGTGTTTGCACAGTAAGTACATTGTAACTAAGGATTAACTTCATTACATATTAGTTAACCTCCTTAGTGGCCACATACGTGGACAGCATATTTTAGCTTTTATGTCTTATGATTTATATTTTTTTACAGTCATACAGTGTCATCCTGCAGCATATGAGATGTCCCAACACGATTTTAACAGACCAAAATGGACAAAAAATTTTGTTTTTACTGATTGATAAAACATGTTAAAAATATGTGTGTATGTGTTATTAATGCATTGAAAACAGTCAGAAAAAAAACTGCTGTGTTCAAGGCAGAAATTAAAAGTTTTTATTTTATTACACAAAGGTGACTTTATTGTGCTTTATGGAAATTCGGACCACGAGTCCACATATATGGACATCCTTTTTCTCTAAAAGTAAAAATCATATCAAAAGACGGTACTTGGGTTTTATTCTAAATAGGTTCCAATAAGCCCAAAAAGCAAAGAGAAATTAAAGAAATGCATAAAAAAAACAGCTTGGGCAACCCTCTAAGGCAGGGGTGTCAAACTCAATTCCTGGAGGGCCGAAGCCCTGCACAGTTTAGATCCAACCCTGCTCCAACACATTTACCTGTAGGTTTCAAACCAGCCTGAAGGACTCAATTAGTTTGATCAGGTGTGTTTAATTAGGGTTGGAACTAAACTGTGCAGAGCTGTGGCCCTTTTGGAACTGAGTTTGACACCTGTTCTCTATGGCATACATTTTTGTTTTAGGAGTAAAAAAAATATTTCCCCCAGATTTTCTGGGTGCTTAAGGGTCCCTTACAATAATTTTGAGATTTTGGTTTGTTGCCTCAGGGCATCAACGTGCTATTAGGGCACTAAAACTCCAAGGTTTTCTGTATCTGTATTATATGTGAAATGAGGTACAAACAACCCACAAATACATAGAAAACATACATAAACAATATCAACAAGTAATATTTCATCAATAACTAGCCATAAACGGCTAATTGTGTGTTGCTGTGCGGTACCAATCAAATGTTATCTTTTTTATTTAGAACCTCTGAAAGCAGTTGTTGGTGGATGTGAAGCAAAGGTGGGTGCCATATTTTTATCATTTGGTTTTAGGTCAGGAGTGCCCAAACATGCTCCTGGAGGGCCGGTGTCTTGCAGAGTATAGCTCTAACCCTAATTAAATACACCTGATCCAGCAACTCGAGTTCTAACTACTAGAAACTATTCTACTGCCTACTACTAACTACTGCCTATATACTATTGGCAGGTTGGCAACTAAACTCTACAGGACCGTCCCTCCAGGACAGAGTTTGGGCACCCTCCTTTAGATGAACATTTGCATCCGGGTACTCTATCTCCGTTTCTGTGTGTCCATGACCATCAGATGTACAACAAACTCAGTTCCTGGAGAGCCACAGCCCTGCAGAGTTTAGTTCCAACATTGCTTCAACACAGTTACCTGTTTCAAACAAGCCTGAAGAACGCGATTAGTTTAATCAGGTTTGTTTAACCAGGGTTAAAGAAAAACTGTGCAGAACTGTGGCTTTTTGCAAGTTTAATTTGCATCTTTGAATAGAAAAATATAGCTAATGTGACTTTAAGCTCGCTGTCAGAAGGAATGAGCATAACTGCTTAATCTTCTTCTTTACCTCCATAAAATGTTTCAACATCCATTTCCTGAGAGTAATAGGATACAGTAAAGCAAAACATATATATTATGATGCTATACATATCTGCACATTTATAGGATGTTATTGTTTTTACAAAAAATGGTCTAACTGCACAATGTTTTGCCCTGAGACAACAATCATAAAAAGTGTATTTTCTCAATCAAATATGCTTCACATATTTATGCATATCACACATATTTTTAATATAAAGATATTTAAATTTAAACATGTTAAAAAGTGAAATCTATCTTACAATCTGCCCGCAGTGTGCACAAGCAGGCTATGGTTCCTAAAATGGCTCTTTTGTCCCTAGAAAACAGGTCAAATCCACACCCATCTTAAATTTCATTGATTACCAACTTATTATTGGACTTTTTTGTGATATTTTATTTTTAAAAATGTAAAGGGGGTTTGTGGGCCAAAAGAATAGTTTGTTGCCTGAGGGCAACACCATGCCGGGTTAAGATCACTTAATGGGAGAATATTTTTTTATATTCAATTCACATTGCAAACTTTTGTGTTTTAGGGTTGTCAAACAAAACAGAAAACATTAGCTTCATTTTAAATGTGAACATTAATTTGTTTGTTTTAATGTAACTTGAAATAAATGCATTAGGCTTAGGATCCATTTGCTCAAATTAAACTTTTGTCTGAAACGATAAGATTACAACATGAACACAATGAACAGCAAATTTCACTAAATAATAAGATTACATCCACATGTGCACAGACTTGCTAAGTGTATTAGATCTCATTATTAAAAGAAGTGTGAACTCTTAGATTAATAAGAGGCTTACAGGTTTAAAGCTGTGTGTTTTCTATAGGGCCATATGTGACACAGTAACCTTGTTTAAATCATCTGGATGTGCCTCAGTCAGAGCCTCACATTAATGGTGCAGAGGTCATTAAGAGTTGAAAGGGTTGTTTGGGGACTTTGGTTTAATTAATTCAGAGACATCTGTTACACCCGATCTGACTCTAACAAAAGAATTACAAGTGCCTCTCTGTCAGTGCCTGCACACACACAATCACAAGGAATTAAGTCACGTATACAGTATAAAAAATACATATATTTTGAGTCTATAAAGAGTTTTTTTAAGAGTAAAAAGACTTTTAAAAGCTATTTTTAATAAGAGTCTTATATAAAAATTTAACTTTTGAGAGTTAACCAAGGTAAAAATGCTGATGGGTCATTAAATTATTAGACACTAATGCACATTTTGTCCAGAAATCAATATTTTTTTTTATCATAAAAAGGGTAAAACTTTACAATAGTGTTCCATAATTTAATAATATATTTATTAATGTGAACAAACAATTAGCTAATTAAATACAATATTTATTCAAGCTTGTTAACATTAGCTAATTTATGTTAGTTCAA